TCTCACTTTTTTCTATTGTGTTTGACATGCTCTACATCATTGAGTGTGATCTTCTTGCTGTTCTTGAATAGAAGTCCCGTAGCAGTTTTTCGCTTAAGTTCCCAGATGCCTCCGTTACGCCAAAGCACATAAAATATGATAGTCACTATCACTAAATCGTGCATAGATTTCTTCCAAAACTTTATTCATTACATTGTAGAAACAATTGAACAGAGCTTTGCTTTCTAGATGGGTTTTGGGGTCTTTGTCCTTGTAAAGAAAACAAGTGTCCTGCCCACTGCCTTCCCCCTCTCGCAAGCTCAGTGCGTTGCTCTTGTTTGACGGCTCATGTTCAACTTTTATCTTGAAGTTACATATCTTTTGGTGTTGGCCTCAATGAAATTGTAGAAACCTTGAACAATACCAAGTCCATTTCTCATTGACTCACTTTCTGCAAGATTCCACTAATGTCCAAGGCAGTGGACATAGATGCTCAGCGGGGAACAGTCCTCCATTCGCTTTGCCAAGCCCTTGCTTTTGCCGCTCATCTTCATCGAAGCATTTGATAAGAAGTTTCTACAGACGTTTTAACGCCCAATTTGTACAATTTCTGAAGACTGAGTTTTGTAAAATTCAGCAAAAAGTTCCTTTCGGACACCATTCAATGCAAAACTGACACAAACTGATATTTGTTCGTGATGACGAAGGTCAGACGCTTGTTTCATCAATTATGACAGCATTACAGCCGCTTTCTTTTATTTCTTTCTTTTACTTCTTTTTAAAATTAATTGGGCTGTTGCTGTTCTTGTCGCTTTTTGTGTTTTTTTGACCCAACAGATTTTTACCTTATTCCATTACTTCCAAAAACTTGCTTTTTTCATCTCAGAGATTTAAAACATGTAGTTTTTCTTATACTTGGTTTTTGGAAAAGGCTCCTGCCAGAATTTTGCCCGAAAAAAAATCAGCTGCATGAATCTGCTGGCTGAAGCCCCGCAGCCCAACAAGATCCAACAAGATCATAATTTTTCTAACACAACAGAAGTTTACCTTTACAGGGGTTTTTTGCCCCCACCCCTCCCCCTCTGATCCACCTCGATCTATACCATTTAATTAAAACTGGTAATATGTACGGAAGTGAACTGGCTGTTGTTAACTTTTGAAATTTATATTTCTCATAGAGTCTGTTAAATATGCTTTCAAGGCATAAGCTGCTACCAATTATAGATCACTCCAATAAATCATTCCATGATAATTTTTCTAAGCCAAAAACTTCAACCCATATTTGTCTGTTAGTTTATGCTTTCACGAAATTTTAAAAACACCAATGAAAACTTGAAAAAATCAGTAAAGTTTTACTGCATTGAGAGGACAGATTTTTTATTGAAAAAATACAGCCATCGTTTGGAAATTGACACTAGTCTTCACACCAATAGGCATTAAATAATTAAAAACAGTGAATATAAAGAAGGGTTCCTTTTAGTCAAAACATGATATGATATAGTGAAAACTGATATATTCCATCCTGTTGCAGAAACGGCAAAAAAACAAAGAACAACATAGGAAAGTTAATCTGACATATACAAACTGTCCTTCAACCATAAATAAGATAGTTTTGAAAATTTGCAGAGAAGCAAAAAATCATTTATTTGCACTTGTGCATGCGTCAATTTGTATATTGTTTCCTTTCATTCTCTGCAAATGAAGGCAGCATAGCTTGCTGAAAGTCTAAAATTTGAGCTGCATGAAATGTTTAGGCTGCTGTACTCTTATTCTGAATCTTCATGCACTAAAATATTTTTCATTAGAGATCACCTAAAAAGCCATGGCAAGCAAATCACAACTCAACTGGCAAGAACAATCAAGAAGGCCTTATAAAATAGTACATCAAGTCCTATTAAAAAAATATAATAAATATTATTTTATAGGATTTATTTGATTTGCAATTCTCTATTCAACTAATCATGTCAGACTACACCAGAAAACAAAGTTTCAGTTGTACATACAAGGTGCATAGTTGTAATGTTCATACTGAAGACCATACATAGGTACATGGGTACAAGTACCAAAGTCTCAAAATAGCTTTTTGTGATGTTCTAAAATTGGTGTTGTATCTTATTCTATTCAGCATGTCAAATTACGCCAGAAAACAATTATCTTTTAATATTTTTTTACTCAGTTTTGCATGCTCTTTTGATAAAATCATCAGATTTGAAAAATTTGAAGGACAAAATTTTGTTAACCATGCATTTTTCACACTTTCTGAAACATAACTTCTGGTCATTTGCTTGAAATGTAACTAAGACTTAAAATGATCAGTGGCCTTTACTTTGATGAATTAAACTTTGGTTAGACAGTTTGCTAGATGGTTACACAAAATTCCCTGTTCATTATATAGGGTTATAAACAAAATTATGGATTTGTCATCACATTTAGCTTGGCTGTGCTCCTCCATAAAACCCTTAAATGAACTCCTGAAGTTGACACAATTTCTTGCATAAGTTGAACATGAAAACATTTTTTGGTATAAAAAAAAGATGGGAAAAACTGTCTTCTTGTTCCTCTGTTATCAAAGTGATGATTTTTTTCTCTCATCGGAATGAGTTTTTGAAGTTAGAACATAGGATTATTCTTATTCTTACGTTCTTCAAACTTGTCAACCAGCACCTTGGAAACCATTTCTTAGAAATTTGACAAGTTTAGATAAAGGCACACTTTTATAAGCAAAATTTGTTGATTTCAATGATATATGTTGAGGAGATTTTTTTCTTGCGCAACCATCTAAAAATTTAGGTTGAATATCCCATTTTCACGTTTTCAACTGTGACAAAGCGCCGTTATCTGTGACGTCACAAAGTTTGCAAACACAGAAGCAGTGACATTTAGTACAAGGAGTTTGTTAACTCAACTACCATTAAAGTAGCCATAGGGGGCAATTTTAAGTCAGGATACATATCCAAACTGTCCTTTTTTGCAAAGTTTCATGCTGCTGTAACCAAAGTATGCCTGAAATACGATAATACTGTCTGATAAGATCTTGGGCGGTGTACCCATGTCCAAAAATAGAACAAAGGGGCAATTTTCAGATGCAGTCTTTATCCTGCATATCAGATTGCCGTTTATTGCAATGTTTCCTGCTATTGTATTTTCGGCAAAGATATCAAAATAACATCATTAGTGGAGTCATGCGGTTAAATACCCTAGTCTAAAAATAACCCAAAGGGTCAATTTTCTGTCGGGTTCTATATCCTATCTTTTTCAGCGTATGAAACTGTCCTATTTTGCAAAGTTTGGCGCTGTAGTACTAAAGGACAATTGAGATGCAATCAAACTGTCTTTATAGGTCTGGAGCAAGGAACCCCAGTCTAAAAATAGAAAAGGGGGCAATATTCAATTATGTTCTATATCCTATCTTTTGTTCCGTATCAAACTGCCTGGTGTTGTAAAGTTCTGTTCTACTATACCTACTTTAAGGGGAGATATTGTAGCAATGCCGTAAGGGGCTTGGGGCAAAGAACCCCTGTTCAAAAATAGCTAAAGGTGGCAATTTTCAGTTGGGTTCCATATCCTATCTTTTTCATTGTATCACAATTTGCACAATTTGCACAATTGTGTGACTAACAGCCCTGACTAAGTGGTATGGTGTGTTTACTGCAAAGACAGAACCAACTGCAAACCTTTTGACATCACTGATTCTTATGCTTTGTCACTCGCACTCATTGTTTTTAAAACCCATAGAATTTTCAGTTGCTTACAAAAAAACTATATGTGAAATTTCATTTCATAGGCACTTTAACCTAATAGCAAATAAAAGAGTCTGACATGCTTGGCCTCTTTTGATAAACTTGAAGCTGTCCCTGTCTATCTTTTTGGTTATTGTGGTTATTGTGGTATCAATGGATATAAACCTGATATATTCTTCAAAAGAAAAAAATTCTTCAAACAAAAGATAGTTCTTCAAAAGAAACAATTCTCATTCGATTTTGGCTTTATAGTGTTGATAGTTGCTTGGTTTTGTTACCATTGTGAAGTGTTTTGTAACACCTTAGGACCCATTCCTTGTAAATAACTACATAGCTTTGATTGTTGCTTATAGTGAGTTCTTATGAACAAGTAATTTTATCTGGCCTTATGATCTTGGTTATTACAGTACCCAAGAACATTGTTCCAAGGAATGTCAAGGAACAAAGAAGTTTCATTACGATTGGTTTCATTACAGTCTTCTTTCGAGACCTGTCTGACAACAGATCTGTCACAGGCATTTATATTTTTGGGGAGCCATCTTTTTCTAGATTTACTTTGGCTAGAATCTGTGGTAAGCTAAAATCCCAGAATAAATACTGGTTCATGACTATTCATCATAAATAAACCATTAGAGTAACTCTTGGATTCTCTATTAAGTTACCATCAAAAAGCAGAACAGCCTTACACTCAAGGTGTCAGCACAGCAATGATTTCCTGTTTAAGAATGGAATTAATCAAACGTAGCAAAAGTGTGCCTTAAAAATCTTTAAGGCATACTTAACACGTTTTACAAGATCACAAGAAAATGAATGCAAAAAATATTCTGCGATGATCTTAGGCTATCTAAAGGGCGTTGATCGCCAGAGACATTATGTTTCTTACAATGAGAAAACGTTCTAGTTTCTATGCGGGGTAAATCGCCTTAAATGCATGCTATATCATTTTTTATTTTTCTATCGGCATTTTGATACATTCTTCGTTGGCAATTATGTTGAATGTAAACGTCAGCACCTTGAATTCTAGCGCCACCCCTGGTGCTAATCAACAAATGGAAACAGAAAAAAAGGTTTATCTGAAAAAACTTTTCTTGAAATATTGTATTTTGTTGAATTTCTTGGAAGATTGCATTTTATTTGCATTTTGTACAAAGCAAGAGTAGCGACACCTCTTTGAGGCAACTTGAATTGTTTTGTCACATACCACTTGAAGTTAGACCGTCCCGTTTGTGGATCTAGACCATCCAAATAATACTCCCAATAACCAAAGGTCCAACCACTCACCGTTTAAGAGCACCCTGAGACAGCTGAAACTTCTGGAATTTACAGAGGCCAAATCAAAGACCATTAAACGGGACACAGAAGTAGCCAATCCAGGAGTACACTCCCACGCTCTCCTAGCAATGTTCCAGGCAGCCATTATTTCTAAAATTTGTCTTCCAAGCAAAGAGCGAAACGCACAGCAGGAGCACAGGAGTACGATAGACCTCGTCGGTCACATGGACAGACTCTGCTCGAAATACTATTGTTCACAACGCGGATAATGCGCAGCGAGTGCAGACCATTTATATGAGAACAAAAGACGCCCGAAGGACCATATTCTGTCTGCTAAAGTAGCGTTGAACAACGGCTGAAAAGCATGCGACGTGAAAAGCAACCAAAAAGGACCCCAGGGAGGAGACTGGGAAGAGGGGGTTTTATGCCCCCATTTTTTGCAAAATCTGTTGTTATGGGCAGGGCCGCGGGGCGGATTTATGGGTTCTGGGTCAGGACGAAAGGTAATAGTAAAACATGCCTTAGGCAGACGCTTCTAGGGGATAGGAGGAATCAGTAGCGGGGCCACAGGGGAGACTGGGGGAGGCACGTCCCCCCAGTTCTCAACAGAATCGATTTTTCATTTCGCCTAAATTCGATGAGAAAATTTGGACAGGGGTAATATTTTGGGAACGTACTTTTTAGAATGTAATTCTCTGGTTTTCAAACTGCCATTAGTTGGTATCATTAGTTGGTACCTTTCTTTAAGGTAAAATTGGCATTCCATGTTGGTAAAGAGGCATTTTCTGGTGTAAAAACAGCGTGGCCCAAAAATTTTTGTTTTGTCCCCCCCGTCCCCAGAGCCTGGTGGCTGGCGCCGCCATTGGGAGGAATGTTGTTCCCCGGGAATTTTTTGAAAATGATGGTTGCTAAAATTGCTATGGCGGCTAAACTGCTCTGGTGGCAGCGGCCTAGATAGAGGGAGGTCAGAGGGGGCAACCAACCCCCCCCCTGTAGAGCTAAACTGCTATTTTTCCGGAGAATTTCTGGTCTTGTCGGAAATTTAACACGATCGTTTATGTTTAACTAATTGCTATGATTTGATAGGAAGCCAAATAAACATAAGAATGTCTAAATATATCAAAAGAAATATTTATTTCAGTACCGATGTCGTTATGTTATGATAGAAACATAAATGCTTATTAGATTATTGTCGAAAAATCTAAGTTTCTCAGTCTCACCCTTCCTATGAATTTTCCTATCTAGGTCGTTGCATAACTGAATCGTAACACTATAATAGATAAAAATGAAAATTTCTAACTTATTTAGGTATATTTCTATTATTTGTCTATTATTATCATCAATTCAGTAGATAAATTTTTATATCATTGCAATGTCTGCATTTCGGATGCGTAAACATGGCCTACTGATGTAAAACCTCTTAGAAGGGGGTTTTACAAACGTGAGTTCATTCTAGGCAGAAATGCTCAAAAATACGGCAACGGCGGATAAAATCAAAATTCTTCTTTTTTTATGGCAATGATTCGACTAACGGCTAACAACAAGTTCGACAAATAACGACACGGCTTCAACAGGCACGACAAAACTAGCGACAGAGCTCCAAGCAGAACGGCAAAACTTTCGAAAAGACTACTCCTAACTTATGAAACAACCCTTTATGTAACCTAAGCGAACCTAAAAATAATTACGTAATACAAAAAAACATATTTACAGACGCTGATGCAATCATAGCGCAATGATGCAATTGTCACGTGATACTGTCCGTAAGGGAACCCTGTGTCGTTACAAAAGTGCACATTTCTGTTCAGAAGTAAAATTCTCTCGATCAATACAACAGTTTCTTATTATCCATATCGCTGTGCCTTGTGAACCAAAGGTCACCCTCTCTTCCTTTCCCCAACAGAGCCTAAAATAAGCGTGGGTCTGACTGAAGTTGAAAATTAAAATTTTGGAACTGTAATTGTAGAAAGTGTGGATTTGTAAATAATGCATGTTCTAAAATTACTGCATAAAATACCAATCGAAACGCCTTAGAAAGAAATGGAAACATTTTTTCAATTCGAAATGAATGCCCAATCCCAGCCTTATGTATTGCACTCGTTTTTTAAAGGAAAATTGCGATAAGAAATAAGCATTTCCTACCCGTAATGTATTTTGGGGTGTATGTGATATCTTTCAGTAGATTTCAGAAAAAGTTATAAAGCAATTCAACTAAGGTGGTTTAAATTTGAGAGGCATCGGAAAGATTCCTTTCAAGGCTACAGCAGCTGAACGATGATAAGTCTCTCGATCGTAGCTGGGAGGAACATTCAATTGGGCATGTTGCATAACAGGGACTATAGTCCTCCCCAACTTTCTTGCAATAATAGGTTAGAAAATGTTTTGAAAATTTACGCTAACGAATGCATCAGTAGCAGTTTTGCTGGGAACACGTTTTTGTTCTTTTTGATGGTGCTTTATCTTGTGTGGTCAAAGATAAATTTGTATTTTATCTAACTCGGTTTTGTATTTTTATGTTAACTGAAATCTATGAATTTATCTAAGAGAGTTTATTCAAAAATGTCTGTTATCTTTTACCTTGTTTCATCATTCATCATTTGTAATTTTGAAATTATTTCAAAAAGCTTTGAACACTGTCTGTGCAAACATTTTTGTCTCCTTTGCATTTTCGTTGTTTCTTGCAACATGCTGCCAGAATTCAGCAAAATTTTGCTTCTTCGGCTGCCATAATGGATAAATTTGGCCATCAAACCATGGATCTAAATTGCCTTTTTGCTTATCAAGAATGAGTACACTGGGTTGTCAAAAGGGCCAAATTGCAACTCTGGCCACTTTTGATATTCTGTGCATGCACTAGCCTCTTCCTCGAGCAGGGTTGCCTTGATTTGAAATCTAGCATAATTTTTGCAAATCTAGCACAATCTTATGACAAATTTGGCGTAATTCCAAAATTGAGATATGGTGCATGGTTTCTGCACTGCAAACAAGATGGGGGTAAAGAACATGATGATAGATTCTGTATTTTAAACATCGGTACGATGTTAATCACTTCTTTTAGCTGTCTTCTCTAATCTTCACTGCATCCAATGTCAGCAAAGGTCAGTATACCATTCATCAATAAACACGTAACATCTTTAATTGGTTTTGGAGCCTTTCTTTCTTTCCCCTTTGTTTTTTCGTGAATCTTTCGCTGAAGACATTTCTGACCCTTTACCTTTGCATCTTGCTGCATTTTCTGTTCTCCTCTTTAAAAGATAGGTGTTTTTGATGATGTCTCCTTGTGTTTTTGCAAAGCATTGGTACCTCCTCCTATAGAAGACATTTTTAGCTCCTTGTTCGCCATTGTTAAACAATCAAATTTTACATGAACGTAGATTCTCAATCTCCCGTAATTTTGCTACAACTTCATCAAGCATCTGTTTAATATACTTCATACAAGAGTCTGCTTTACATATATGGGTCTCCTAACTAAATTGTCCTTGGGACTTTCCTAGCTCATTTGTAAACGTTGATAACTTTTTGCTTGAGGTAAGTTATATCTTTCTCTATTTTCCATCTGGTAAATATGTTGATGGTTGATGTAATCTTTAAACTGCAGCGGAGTTATTATCAAGAGGAGCATAAACAAAAAAGGCCTGAAGATTAAGGAAGTGCAAGAGAGAAAAGGTACATGAACGAGCTACAACAGCAGACCCCATTACATGAATGGGTAACAGCGAGAAGAATAATACGGTGATGTAGAAGACGAGAAGGTGGGGAAAAAGAGACAGAAAATGAGAAGAGGTAGAGTAAGAAGAAAATGAAGATCAAGAAGAAGAGGGAGAACACGGATCAAGTACAAAGAAGAAAAAGAGAAGGAAGAAGATGCAGGAAAAGAAGATTAAATGAAGAAGAAGAGTATGATCGATGTTTTTAAAGGTTTATATCACATCAACGCAAAGCTTAGATTGTTTCCATTCATGTTGCTGCTTTTATCTTTCGAAATGAAGTTCACATCTGTTCAAAATACATTAATTTTTTTATAAGAAACAAAGGTCGATGTTGAGTACTCCAGTTTCTTAATGTTCTGGAAATTTCAATACTCACTGTTTCTTAAGAGCTTTTGATTATGATGTCATGAATGATTTTCTTCACGTCAAGAGATTCGCTTCCGTTCTGACGCTGTATTTAGACTTGAGAAGTATATTTCTATCCCTTGTGTCTTAATTTCTAGGCCATCAGGGCAATCATGTTCTTGGATTTTACAAAGTTTCGTTGTTCTCAGTTTTATCACGATTTAATAGTTTCTTAAAATTTTTGCTTCGAGTACAGAAGTTTCTTGATTTTTTCTGACTGTTCAGTTTTCGTTTCTTATAGCCAATTTCTTATAAAAAAAATGAGTATAGTGACAGCGAGAGCACTGCAACGCATACGTACAAATAAAAATCGCATGAAAATCTTGCTAAAAACAGCAACAACTGGGTAGTGTTTCAGCAGTGGGAGTAGAAGGATATTTTGGTGCAAACGAAACCCCCTTTAACCGTTGCTCCTATTTGGGTATTATCTTGCAAACTGCCTTGCGTGAAATTTTAGAGGAATTCATCACTAAACATAGGCCTAAAATCACGAGGGCTTCTGGTACTTCTGGTACGTCTGGTACTGATGGATTACTTCCACGACCAATACCCTAAGGAAATATATTTTAGTGGAAAAAATGAAATTGACTAGCATATGTGAGACTAACAGAGAGGTTTGACTTAAAAGATAGTTCAAAAAATGCTCACATATAAATGCCCAAATAAAGCGGAAGTGAGTTTATACTGTGTCACAATTTGATAATAATTGTGACACAATGCTAGTAAATCAAATCAAAGTACCAATTTAATAAAAAAGATAAAAGAATAGCTACAAGACAAACAAGAGTAGAGTCATAATTTCTGCTAATATACACTAACATAATTATCATTGCTGAAAAACAGGCATTTTAAAAATTGACAGTCATTCAACACTAGAAAGCCCTAAAACTGACAATATGGCAAAAACAAAAACCAATATGGCAAAAAAGCATCTAATTTTCTTGCACCAAAAATCTCTAAAGCAAAAAGAAAAGTTATTCTGAAAAAGTTAAAAAACTGATGAAGTTATTAAAACACAAAATTTCCTATTCACCTTTCAAGTATTTAAATTACCATGTGACTTACTAAAACTAAAACTATCTAGGCTTAATATTAAACATATATTAATTATCTCATAAAGGCCAGTGGGTATGCTGGTATTCGTTCAAATTCCTTGATTTAGTTTAAATGCGAGCAATTTCTCCTCCAAGACAAATCATTTGCAAGGGGACATTCAAGTCTCAACCTGAGGTTTTTTGCGCATTGTGCTAAAAGCCTCGCACCAGCAATGACAGTAATCAGAGAAGATGCTTAACAGTCTTTCGGGAAAAAGATTACAATAAATGTCCAGTCATATAAAAATTTAGTTTTTTACACGTGGGAACTGCCAACACAGTGCTAACAGCAGGAAGCCTTTTTATGAATTCGCTCTTGAAAACCACCACCAGATGTTCTTTCTACTGGCTTTATTTTTTCCCTAACAATACCATAGGCGACTCTGTTGAATACTTCAGACACGTCTTCATCGCTATGTGCAGAAATTTTCAAATATTCTTTAAAAAATCCAGGATTACTTTTCAGGAAATCGTTGACCTTACTGTCAGATACTGTTGGTGTATCCAGATCCTTCTTGTTACCAACTAGAACAAATATTGCCTTCGGAGAGAAGTCGTCATTGATAATTTTAGATACTGTAGGTTTTATTTTTTTAAAACTCTTTTCAGAGTCTAAAGAAAAAACAGCAACAATGGCATGTACATCTTTGTAATAGGATTCTGTCATCGATTCATATTGTTCCATTCCGGCAGTGTCCCAAATCTGCAACTAAAAGGGCACATTTTTATCGAAATCGAAGGAGTACAGCTGCTTTTTCTCATCTAAAAAGGGTTTGCATTGGAATGACTAAATAGAGGCCATCCTTAAATTTTGTAAACAAAGTCAAATCTCAAGAAAACATTCGCGGCTACGTCGAATGTAGACACTTCAAATCAAGTTATTTCGGCTCTGTTCATAAAGTTAAGAACAGAGAGAGACCAATATACAGTGATTGAAAAATGTGCCTGTGCTCACTTGACTATATCGCAGGCAATTCATAACACATTGGGCTGCTTTTGCGCAGTAAGAAATATTAAAATATGATCTTTCAGGTTATGGGATCAAAATTCAACAATTCTAAAAATTGATTTTTGTGACTCTTTTCGAATGTCAAAAATTTCATTGAAAAAAATTTGGGAAGAAACAGGAACAATACTCTGTTACTGATAGAGGGATGGGCACAAAATAAATTATCGCAGAACAAGCTAAGGCAGAACAAAAAAGCCGCAAGTTGCCAAACGAATCTGCAAACGTGTCAAAAATGGCGGACAGGGGTGACAACATAGATAATCTGGTAAGGGAATATTTTTTCAAGGGATTACGTACAAGGAAATATGTCTGTTTCTTTAACGAAATCACAGGTGCATTGTTAGCCTCGGACACTGAAAAGGAAAATCAAGCAAATAGGTCTCCGAATGCCGGATTATGAAATGGATGCTATAAGAGCAACTGTAGGAGGGATGCCAGGTGGCCCCAGAGTAATCTTGGGTACCGCGCTGTTTGGCATGATCTTTCAAATCAACGGCATTAGGGTTCCCCGCAACATAGTAGCAAATTTCTCACCAATTGAAATGTTGTTGTTGTTGTCCCTCAAGCGCGAAAAGCTTTGCGATGGAAAGTTTTGCCGTGAAAAAGAAAGTTTTGCCGTTGAAAAAAGATTTTGCCGTAAAAAAAAGAAAGTTTTGCCGTGAAAAAGAAAGTTTTGCCGTGGCACCTGTGGGCCACCATAAAAAGTGATAAAATTATCGTTACTTGGCAAAGGTGGAACTAAGCTGTTGATTGCACATTATAGCCTTCAGTTCAAGCTATTCAAGAAGTTCAATTTTGTGTTGAAAACTTCTCTTGGAGTTTCCTCGGGTGTAAATGGTAAAGATTGTGTGCAATCATGGAGAAATTTTAGCCATAATTAAATTGCTTTTTTTAAGGCCATTGTGTGTTTGAATATGATAAGGAATTCTTTTTAGGGTTAGTTTTTATGGATAATTGTTTAAGGTTTTTGATTTAGCCTTAGCATCTTTTGGGCTTGCTGGGCTTGCTGGGCTCGCGGGAGGGGGCAGAGACGGATCCAGACTACAGCAACCTATGCAAAAGCATAAGTCAGACAGCAACCAAACAAAAATTGAGACTATAACAATCTTTAATCAGTAATTCCTTTGTCTAATTCTTCAGTAACTTCCATCCTAGATCTGCCCCTAATGATACCAACTGCATGCAAAAAGACAGAGCATATGGGTGTTTCTAACACAAAAGGATGTTGCTTCTCTTTCTGAAATCTCTCGCATAGGTCAGAATTCAGACTGGATTGCGCCTTTGGGGCAAATATAGGCTGTGGCCTTTTTAAAGGAAGAAAACCAGCTTTCACCAGTATAGAAGACCAATTTACTAATATGGAAGTTCTATGAGTTCAAAATCAAAGAATCATATCACCAAGAATGCTCCCGAAAAATACCCCCCTCCACTAAACATTTTGTCATCAATTTTTTCCAAAGACAATATTTTTCCTGGTTAGGGATTGGGGAGGGGGTTGGGATGTGTCGCTAAACTTGCATTGACAAATGAACTATTGTTTCTAACAACTGATTATGCCTTTTGCTCATGTAAATTCATCAACAAGCTAAATAGAACCTTTGAGGTATATACATGCATGAACCTTTGAGCCTTTGAGGTATATATTTGTAGGATAGAACCTTTGAGGTATATATTTTTAGGATAAAAGAACATCATTTATTTGGTCTAGGATTTTAAGTGTGTTTAATGCTACTGCTTATGTTTAAAGCATCTTCTTGCCCAGTATGCAGATCATGGCAATAGCACAGGAGGGGGGATCTTCCATAATAAAGGTATCTGGAACAATGGTTGATTTTTTAGATATTTGTTCTCCTTTGACAATGTCGGTCTATAGAACAGCCTTTGAAAACAGGAATTTTATCCTGACAACCCAATTTTGATGATAATAAACTAAACCAAATTAATCTTTGAAATTTCCCAGCTCAAACCAACTCTAGACATCTGCTATCTAAACAATCTCTAGACATCTGCTAGCTCAAATGACTTGGGAATGAATCTAGTCAAATATATCCTTTTCCGAGATTAGTCTTGACTAGAGTATCATTTTTGAAGCAACTGGTTTAGCCTAGGGTAACATTTTCTGAAAATTATTCTAGCCAACAGTATCATTATGAAAATGCTCATGACAGAACCCTATCCAAAATTTAGTCAAGAACCCCCTTTCGACAAACCCAAGATGCAAGCATGCTGAAGTGTGCTCTTCAGTTGTGCAAATTAGTGTACAAAACTATTCTACAGCCCAAGGATATCAATAAAGAAGCGGAAATGAACTAAGATAAGAAAATGTTCATGATTAATACCTATTTATTATCAAACCTGCAAGATTGTGTTGATTTTGAGACAACATAATTCTTCATTTGCCCTAAGCAACAGGACACTCCCATGTCACGCCCGTATCTCGAAATGCCACACCCTTTACCAAGTGTGCAGGAACCTTTCAGAAAAAATATCTCAGGTGTGCACTTGACATACCCAGTCTGTCGGGGCCGTGCCACACGGATAAATTCGTCATTGAGCTTTAAATTTTAGCATTGCATAGATTTCCCATACGAACAACAAATATTGTTTTGCAACTGCATGTTTTGGATAGAACTGCGAGCCTTTCCTCTTTAAAAAAATTTGTATTTCATCTCAAACAAACCAACTTAACTTACTGTAACTTGCTGCTTCTCGACCTCGTCGTCTCCAACCACCACTGTGACATCATGATCGTAAAACTCAATTTCAGCGTTCTTTTTATTAGGCTTGCCCCTTATTCGGTTGAAAATTGTTGTTTTCCCTACACCATATTTCCCTATTAAACAAACTTTATAGAGCGACATGATTCAAATAAGATGTAAGTATGGTAGGTGTGGATAGGTGAAACATAACTTCAAAAAAAAGAAAGCGGAAGTTAATCTTTAGCCTCTTTTTGACTCAATACTTCTGGCGTTTGATTGGCAGTTCTATATGGCTCTATCATTTGTGTTAACAGAGACGGCGCAGCAAAAATAAACTGGGGGGGGGGGTCCTCCCATATTTTGATCATTGCAGCAGAAATTCCATCACATCCAGTGGCGTACCCAAGGGGGGGAATAGGGGGGTCCGGACCCCCCTACTTTTATAAAATACGATCCTCGAGATTTGTCCAAAAATCATGTAAAACTCATTGGGGGGTGCAGTATACTGTATGCTTGTATAAATAACAATTGTAATATACTTCGCTATTTACCGTAGCTAACACTGATCAAACAACGCGGGGAAATTTTGCAAAAAGGGCGTTTTCCCGCATTTGTGAGCTTCTGAAGGGTGTGGTAAAAAATGTCTGGGGGCTCCCCCCCCAGACCCCCTCCACTACTGCAGCCCTGGGTACGCCACTGATCACATCCATGTGCCTTTGTAGTATCTAGAGAGCGAATGATGAAAAAGTACTTAGTTTCTATCTCCCTGCATTGAGCAAAAAAGAACTCATTGATAATATTTGCTTTTGCTTCTACATTGGCAATGAATAAGCCATTTTTAATCAGATGGGGGATGTTAGAAACTGTCTTTTTATTGACAAGTCTGTTCAAGATTTCCTGTAGTGAACAAATCAGACAAAATTATCAGAAGGCCCAGGGATGTGCCGATTGGGGGCGTGGAGGGGGGCGGGCGTCACGTCGCACTTCTAGAAAGTTGGTCATGCAGTGGGAACCTTAGCATTAAATAGGATATTTGACCAAATTTCAACCTATAATTCATTCAATTTATTGGTCATGATTGGTCATAGTCAATTTTTTTTTGAAATACACTCTTTTTTTATAAGAACAATTTTATAAGAACACGAGCCTCAAATTGGTTAAAGCTAAAAGCAAATTAAGAACAAGCTGAGGCTGAGCTACTATAAAATGCAATTTTGAACAACGTTTTATCTAAAAAACGAGAACTTTTATCCATATGTGGGTTCTTCTTTGGTGAATATCCAAACCTGTGGGCAAATGATGGCTGTCTCACTCACTTTGTTGGCACATAAGGCCTGAACACCTCCCTTGAGCGAAAACGCTAGCAATCGCACTGCTTACACCCTATCAATTTAAGAACAAATTAAGAACAATCCACCCTCATATTTTTGAAAAAACAGTCAACCTGAACTCGAATTCACTGGTTCGTACAAAAAAGGGGTTTATTGCAAATAACTTGCTATAAGGAGCAAGCTAACGACTATAAGAAATGACTGCAAGAAATAACTGCAAGAATTTTTCTGAGATGCATTTTAAGCTAATCTGAAGGGTGTGGTCGCAAAAATTTTTTCCTCGCTCCGCTCGCAGGGACATCGTCTTTCCATTTTGCCCTGACCCCAGAGCCTCTGAAACCTCTCGGCGGCCTTCCAGCCATATTTGCCCTTCAATTCTTATAAAATTTTATAGATTAGAGGACATTTTATGAGCAGCCCAAAAGAAGCTGCAGCTCATTTTTCCAGTTTTCCTAATCATTGGCTTTTCGCAAAAAGATGCTCAGGGATTCACCCAAAAACGCGAACTCCAGGAATATTAGTTTCCGCAAACTTAATTTCCTTATACTTTCATGTCATCATTTGCTCTTACTTGTTATCATTAAGTGTGTATTTATATGATCATCCATTTCATTGTTAATGAATTTTCTATGGAGAAACAATCGGTCAAAAAAGTAAAGTTGGTCACTTTTTTTCTGAATGCCCCCCTCCCCCCAAACAAAATTGTCTAGGCACATCACTGAGAAGGCCACATATAAAAACAAGACAAAGAATTTTAACTATTTCTTCGCTTCTTGCAGCATAAGATAACAATGTCGCACTAACTTCAAAATGATTATTTATAAAGGGGCTCCAAAGAAAGTTGGAAAGTGAAGGGGCCAAGGGCAAATTGGAGACCCATAACAAAAAGTTGCAAAAAAGCTCTACTATTTAGGCAGGGAAGTAGGGGACATGGACCCTGGCCTCCTCCCATTGTCGAAGGCATGTAATGCTCTGTTACATGCACCCTCAATACATTAAATAACGAAAATTTCGAATAGCAATTCTTAAATCTGCTTTTTTCTTACTAAAAAGTTTATTAGACCGGAAAAAACATAATTTTGCATTTATTCTGCTCTAGATATCTTTCTAAACGATTTATCATGCAAAAATCACACAAAATTGTAAAACCATTATGTGCTATCCATTGTGAAAGCCGACACAGCCATATAAGACAACAACCTTTTTGAGAGCTCACAATTAAACTGGTATTGCTTGCTCTTTCAGATTATGGGAACAAATTTCAGAAATTCTAAAAAGGTATTTTTATGACGTCATCACTTGACAACTCTATAGCTGTCATTTAAACAACTGCTTGTCCATAACCCCCCCCCCCAATGGTTTGCAAGTGATAATCTTGCAATACCTACAACATCATTGTAGTCAACTGCAAAGGGTCTTGTGCGATATGAATGCAACAACTAATCAATTAATAAACAGCATATTCCATTTAAAGTCAATAGTTGACTATTACAAAAATTATTACTGCCAGATGTAATTGAAGAGTGCTCTAAACCCACATAAAAATATATTTCAATGATAATCAACAACATAAAATACCTATAAACAAAAACATGTCCTGCTTTCTGACTTTTGAATAATAACATCAATTTCTTGTTTCTTCTTAATAGGCCGAACTCTTTTCCTGACCAACTTATGTGCAATGTTAGAAAAAAGTTCCTTAAGTCCATCACCTGTTTTTGCTGAAGTTATATTATACCTGGTGAAAAAAGATACATTACTTGACAGAAAATCAGAGACTCTTTCCTCTTGAACTTCTTGTGCATTTCTCGCTAAGTCACATTTGTTTCCTACAAGAAAGAATATTGAATCTGGAGCATAGTCATGTCTTTTTATATCCTCCATTATGTCATTTATCGCACCAAAGCTTTCTGTGCAACCAAATGAAAAAACAAGAAGAACAGCATGAGATTTTCTATAGTAGCTTGTAGTCAATGATTGATAACGGTCCATGCCAGCAGTATCCCATATCTGTAACTGAATAACACAAAGAATATGATAAATCTTCAGGCAAGAATCAATACGTTACAACTATTGTGGTCATTTTAAATGTAAAATACAACCATTTTAACTGGTAGAGGTGCACTAAATTCTCGTTTTACAAATCAATGACTTGAATACAAAACTTTGGCTTGGAAATGTAAATTTCAGCAATAAAAATGGGCCAATTAAAGCATTTGATGATTATGTCATCACTTTTGCTTCAGAAACCTAGCAAAAAATAAAACAGAAAAGATCATGTGGAGAAATTAAGAAAAAGAGAAAGGCTTGGTTTTTGAAAAAGTGGCAGCTTTGTTAATCTCATCATGGAAGCTCACTTAAATATTCAATCCAGTTATACCCAACACAGACGAGTGGAAAAAGGGCAGGCAAGCAGATGTTTAAGTTAAATTCTGCATTGAAGCTTATATCTGATGCACTACATCTTGATGACCTGACAAGCATGCAGACAGTGAGGAAAATGAGGATTATGTTGAGTTTGGATGCATATGGTGACATATCCTGGCACCAGCTGCATTTGGTACCTTGGGACACAACTTTGTGTGATCTGTTACCTCCAGTAGTAAAAAAGATATGTTCAAAACGCTTCCTTACTTGCAGGCTGACCTGGTGTGTCCACTCTCATTAACTTGTGTAGCCAGGCTCACCCAAGATATCTTCTCAATGTAAGACAAGCGAGATTGCCTGTTTTAGATGGGGCATCAATTTGGTTTTGTCATTGCCAAAAAAATCTAAAAATTTCAACCTCATCAAACACGAAATTTATGATGGTATTAATTTGAGGCATGCATGGAACTTAAAGAATTTTCCTTCGGAATGTGTTTGTCAGGCAGTTAATCACACTTTGAAAGTTTAATGATAAGCACACACTTTTGTGCAAAATGGTTATAATGAAATGAGAGATCTCACTGGGGAAATATTGTCAACTGTATGCAAGGATGTGTGTAAGGGACCTTGTTTGCAACAATCTGAGAATTGGGTAGAAACAGTAGTGTAGAGCCAAAAAATGCAGAGAGGGGAGGGACCCCAGTGCTTTCTCTATATTTTATACAAAATGAACATTTCAGTTGTTTTCGTTTGCATCGCTTTTTAGGGTTAAATCATCTTCCAATGTCTACCTGTTACTTGAGAAGAAATATCTTAAAAATAAAGAATTTAAAGTTTAGTTAAATTTTGTCAGCATTTATTGAGTTTTCTGTACCCAAAGCATCGTAGCAAAATTCCTCACAATCATTTATGTAGTCTGTAGAATTCCATATGCAGGACGTTATTTTCCCCGTGACCCTGTGACCATTGGTCATAGGAAATCATGCTAAAGATAGTTTTGATCTTTTCAATGTAATGAGGTTATTTTCCTTTGGGCATTTTTATTCCTTCCCATTTCCTAACTTTTCGTGAAGTGTATAAAACTGTTAAATAAAGGTGTATTTTAGTGCATCCCTGGTCCCTGTTCTGTCTGTAGCTCTATGCCTCTGGATTAGCAAATACATTTTCATTTTCCTCGTTCAATAAATGATGCACAATCTTTCCAATTGTTTCTTTTTATGAAATATTAGAACCCCAACTGGAAAATGGATAAACCTTTACTCCACTTTGAAAAAACTCTCTACTCCAACTCCATATTTCTAAAAGTGTTGCCCCCTCCTCTCAACATTATAGAAATGAACATGTGTTAGCATTTATCTCTTTCTCTCTTCGTAAAAGTGTAGCCTGTTCCTCTGCACTTTTCTTCATCAGTTCAATGTTTTCACTTGTGTCTGCTAAACTGATTCAAACAACATAATTTGTAATGTTTCTTTAGATACTCCAACTAAAAAACTCCTAATGATTTTCACAGGAAATTGTTTTCAGAAGATTGTGGTCACAAGAAGTCTTTGAAAAAGTCCCTGGAAACATGGTCTTCAGCTGCATTCCAACCCCTGATTTAATTTCTAACATTCCCGAAGCACCATCACTGGTAAAAGCAACCAAATTCCTCGCTAGGTAATTATTGTTAAGAGATTAGATTGAGCAGTAATGTGCAAATTGATGCAGCATCTTGTCCTGATGTCCATTCGATATCCTAGGAACACATTAACTGGTGAATCTCTAACAATAGTCTTGATGTAGACAATCAGACAGGAGGCATTTGCTCCAGATGTTGATTCATCAATGATGATTGATATGATTCATCAGATGTTGATTCATCAATGATCATTGTACAACTGATTGTGTTGATCATCTCTGTACATGCCCACCTTGAATGAAACGTAACATTCTTTTGTTGAGGAACAAGAAGTGTTTCATATCAAGCAGTTCCGAGGCACTTCTCCGTATATGTGTGAATTGGAAAGCTTTGTCTATCCCCCCCCCCCAACTTTTTTGCAAAACAATAGAGCTTTTTTCAAAATCTTTTGTTATGGGTGTTAAATTTTTCCCTTGAATACACAGTGCAGGGAGGGCGACCTTCATAAAATTGTGATCGTATAAACAGCTCTCTACGTTTACAGTCTCTAAAATGAAATTAGGAAAAATGAAAATAAAAAACAGCTATAGCTTGGGTAACTTGGTTTCATGAAATTTTCCTTCCAGCAATAATTGGTAACAAACCTATAAATAAAATCACTAACTTACATTTACTTCGTATTTTCTACCCGAAAAGTCCACTGTTGTTCTGTGTATATAATTGTCGATTTCAGCTCGAGGGTTTTCACTGAAATCTTTACCTCGAATTGAATTGAACAATGATGTTTTTCCAACGCCTGGCAAACCAACTAGACAGACTTTGTAGGTTAGTGTGCTGCCCCTCGTCGACATCTTAACAACAACAACTGCTGCACTTAGGCCAGGTTCACTTTCTGGCACCTCCGCAGTAACGCAATGAAGAACCAGCATGAAAATGTGTACACTGGGGTAATTTCACACGCTGATGACGATGCCGAACAGACACAAGCCGAAAAATGCCAACAAGTACTATTTTTAGACTGGAGTACTTGGCCCCAGTCCTCGAAATGGGGCAATCTCCATATGTCATTACTGATTTATGAAAAAAAGGGGAAAGGAAAGAGTTAGGTGCATCATCATATACTAAAATATATTAGGAGAAAAGGAAATGAAAAACTGCCCCTTTATGCTATTTTTAGAATGGGGTTCTGGAACCCAGTTCTCGAATTTGGGTTTTACCTTCATAGTCTAGGCTCTAAGCACAGTATTTGACATGAATTGTGCAAATTGTGGTACCAGCATGAAAATGGGTACACTGGGGCAAATTGACACGTTGATAATGATGCTGAACAGACACAAGCTGAAAAGTGTCCCAAGCGCTATTTTTAGACTGGGGTACTTGACCCTAGTCCTCAATTTTGGATTTCATCCATACGAAATTGCGGTTTAAACACAATTCTAAACGATAAAAGTATAACACAGAAACAATTAAAATATTACCCTTGATGCTATATTTAGAATGGACTACTAGAGCCCAGGCCTCTATAAGCTTTCTTTTATAAATCATTACCATTTTTGGTATGAATACGAAATAAAGTCAATATTAAATCTCTGGATTGCTACACTACTCCTCTCAGAGGCCTTCAAGAAAAGCATAGAAGAACTACCTATTGAAGTTTTGAAAACACAAGAGGCTTGAAGAATCAGTGCAATTCTATTATTGGCTTACTGTTAGAGTCAATGCTATTGTTCCTAGTTAAAGCAATAAGGGAGTGAAATTTCCAAATGTTTCTAAGTGCCCTTCATTAGATTGCACCTTGAATGTTTAGCCTTGGTCATACAAACTACTTGTGCTGGCTGCCAATATAACATCAATCGCATTTGAATGTAGCCTATAATTTTAACAATTTTAGCCTCTCCAAATATGTTCGAGTTTGAAAGTTCAGTAAGGGTACTTAACATTTCTGCTACTTTGGATAGTCAGCATTTTATACAAATTGTATGAGACTTTCAGAAGTAGCGAAATGTGAAAGTCACATTTTCCTGTACATGTGATAAATTGCATTAACTTTCAGAGGCAGGAAACGCGTACATATTTAAACATATCGCTTAATGCATATGTTAACTGCGTTTTTTCATAACATCGAATGAGCTTGGATCTAAGTATCCCATTGAGAAAAGAGAAACTAGGCGGAATTCTATCTCTCCGTTATATTTTAGTGTATCACAAAGTATAGAATGCTAGACTTTTTATATTAAAAGCAGTAATGACTAATAACTTACAATAGAAGCAAATCGAAAAGGTGGGTCTATTATTTGTAGCATCTAGAGGTGATATTCTACTATTTTCTAAAAATACTGTTTGGTTAACCAAAAAGGTAGACAGCCATACTATCATGTTTATGTCAAAAGCAAGTAATGGCTTGTAGAAGAGTGTTTACATAGAGGCCTAGAGGCAACAGCCCTAATCTGAAAATAGAATCAAAGGATAGTATTGTTTCTGTGTTATACTTTTATCATGTAGAATTGTGTTTAAACCTATACATTCATGCTCTTTATAAACGTTAGTTAGCTACGTATGGATGAAATCCAAAATTGGGGGCGTGTGAAAGTACCACAGTGTACCCATTTTCATGCTGGTATCACAATTTGCACAATTCAAGTCAAATACTGTTCTAAGAGCCCAGACTACTAGACTCGCAATCAAAACAAAATGTGAAACCGTCCCTGGTGAAAAATTTCCTGACTTGGGATTGCCATTATAAATATCAAATCCTCTTTCCGGTGATACTCTCCTTTTCTCATCTCATCCTCTTTCCCACCTCCCACAAAACTGTTCTCCCTTATTGGCCAAATGTCGTCATCGTGATAGAAAGTCAAACAAGCCAAACATGTTTGATATGTATATTGTTAGCCCGGTCACTAGGCGCATATAACTTTCAAATATACCAAACTTATTAACGTATATGGCATATCGCGTTGTTGATTGGCTATTCCTTTGCTGATATGACACAATTAAGTAAAATGTATTGGATATAAGGACGAACTCAAGTGATCTCACGGAAAAGTATTTCGGGCAAGTTGCGTAGCTGAGCTTTTAGTCTTCACCCTAAAAAAGTCTTTTCAGGGCAGTCACAAGATACAATTCTGTCCGAAATCTCTCAATTTGGGTTTAAACTGTTTTTCATATTAAATCAGCTTCTTATATAGAGAGCTAAGGCAAACCAGAGGGCTGTTTGAACCAGATATTTTACTCGATGAATCATGTCAACTAAATTCAATACTGCGGTAATCTACTATTCCATACAATAATCGCTGGTGATCGGTCCCCTTAAAAGAGCAAACATTTAACAGCTTAATATACATTGCAAATACAAAAATACAAAGATTAAGCGAGACTTGATTTCATTGAAGTTTAGTAGACTGCAGTCGTGTGGAAACAGGTTGTTCAATTGCTACAAAAAAAAGAATAATTACGACAATTAAGTTAAGTAACATTGTCGTAAGTTCTACCAAGAAATTGTCATAAGTTCTACCAAGAAATTCTTTTTGCTTGGTGTTTCCATTACTTGGATTGCAAAACTACTCTACAAAGAGCGTTCGTAAAAAATGGGGCGGAACTGCTAAGATTCGGATTATAACTGATATGAGATCCTGGCTTTTCCTTTAATGCCACTGCACGACTGTCTAATGTGTCACATTCTTGCAAATACAACTTATATAATGTACAATCTCCATCATATTGGTATGAAATTGGGGGGGGAGGGGGGGGGGGATATATGAAATAAGTTTCCTTCCCTTCACAAAAATGTTCGCTTTAAATTATATTTTTCCTTTTTCGAACCTGGCACAAAGCAAAGGCAAGGTATCATCAAATGTAAGGTGGCGCGGTTTTTTACCCTTAGCAAAGGTGGTGGCAGTTACATTTATTGGCGGAATCCACAACGAGAGAGCCTTACTAAGAATTGCAAGTAGAGTTGATTATCCCTATAATAAAGTACTAGAGCGCTCTTTCTTCTTGAAAAGGTCTCTTTTCTTCGTTGAGGCGTCTTTTAGTCTGTTGAAGCCGCTGAGCAGTTTGTTCTTCATTTCTTGTCCACTCAGTGAAGATCCAGAGCTTCGAACAGAAGATGTGAAAAGACTGACGTCCCAGAACAGAAAGTGTATATTTACAAATAAATAATGAACGAAGTCAATTAAAAATTTAGCTATTTCGCAGGTAAGTATATAAGTAGCAGATATTGCATGGCAAAAAATAATAAACTGAAATGAAAAAAACAAACAGCCAACCTTCTTCTATTCGGTTAGATAAAAACACCACCTCTAGGCCAAAATCAACCAAGTTACAGGAAAAACATACTCTATAATATCGTTCTTCATTCTATAGTTAACCAACATGGTGCAAGATGGGAGAGGGGTGACTGTATTTGCCTTTAAATTGACATTAGAATTCAAAGACTTTTAGCAGGGGTTGTAAATACAACAATTAAGTTGGTTTGGCGCTTACCCTTCAGCAGCATTATCTGCAGAAATCTTGCTTTCTGCATCGGTTATTATCAGCCTTATCTGATCCTGAAACGGGACAACAACTCTTTGCATTTCATTGAGCTTCTTAGATTGCCTTTTAACCTATCCCTCACAAGGACATTTACTCTTAATTTTTACGGGCTCACAACAAGATGCATAGAATTTATGGCGTCGTATACAGCGTTGACATCCCTGCGCACTTGGTTTATAAATGGAAACCTGCTTCTGCGTAACACAGTTTTCCTTGGAAATGAATACCTAACCAGGTAGATAAGTTGGTAGAGCAGAGACGAACAATGCCGCTGTTCGCAGATTCGAGTCATACCCTGATCTTGTCATAGGGCTAAAATCTTGATTGGCTGAGAGCCTGCGTTAAATCACGTGGCCTCTCTCCCCGCTGACCCAATCACAGCCTCGGAAAGTGTAAAAAAATTCTATGCTGTAATAAACAATGTGAAAGTACATTAATACGTACATAAACATCTGGTGCGAGGTCCTTTGTGTCTCGCTCCAGGAAGCGTAATGCTGGAATTATTTGCGACGATATTAATTCTGCTGAGATGACTAAATATTGTTAAAGAAAAATGGCACAAATGCTGGTGAAGCATAGCTTGCAGTTCTGTATTGCAAAGAATAAGTCCCATATAAAAAAGTAACGATGGCTGACATACTTTGAATGATACTGAATTATTACACATCTATTAGAGAGCAGACAGCCACATTGTTTTGTGTAAACTCGAGATTCTTGAGAAAGGGAAAATCGCACAGAATTAAAGAGCAGCTTTCCATTGAGAGTCACCTTCAAACAAAATAACCACCTTTTTGAAATACCCCTTTTTGAAGACGAGGTATTTAAAAGCTGTTGTGCTCTAGAGTAGGGGGGGGGGAGCAAATAGGTGTGTATAAATTGCTTTTAAAGTCGTTAAAACTTGGGTCTTGTTTATCAGATATGTGTTAATCGTAAATCTTCAACAAATCATAGAAAGGTTTGGAAATAACTGAAAACTGAAAACATATTTTGATTTTTTATGCTTTTGTTGTTTTCTGCAAAGTAATGAATCCTTTAAGACATAATTGATGCTTTCCAAATCACTGTTGCACTTAACAGAGGGAATATTTGAAAGGGAGCGTTAAAATGGATCATTAAAAATGGAGCGTTAGGAAGAGGGCGTTTATTTCATCCACCTTAAACAAACGGGCAAAATTAAGAGGAGGCTTTCAAAGAGGATTTCACCATATGAAATTGAAAAAGATACAACAACACAGCATTGCACTTATTGTCTGGCCAATTTCACGTGCCATCTCGACTTGAACTTTTAAATCCGGAATGAAACTGTTTGCTTCGGCCATTCTGCGAATTCTATGTGCCAAGACTGAAAAATTTAACATTAAATCGATAACACCAAGAGAGCAACAACTACAAAATATATTTCAAATAAATAAATATAAATATAACTTCGCTACTTTGCAAATTTTTTCTTTGCCCTACGATGGCCAATGTCAAAAAAAAGTTTGATGGAAAAGCTTACATTCTTCTCTGAATTTTGGTTCGGAATTGGGCAGGATTCGCGAAAATGTCCTCAGCATAGCCTTTTGAAGTTCAATGTTGTCTTTGAGACCTGGGTCATCCATTAGTGATTGCAATTGCAAGAACACTTTTTCTAATAACTGGAAAAAAACAAATTTTGCAAAAATAGGTAGAGCCAACACCCTAGTATTGGAACCTAACATTTCATCTCTCAGGCTCAATGGTTCTTATATATTATATAAAGTGCATTAAACGAACAGGGGGTTGTGGATACTACCATTTAATACTACAATTTCATTTAATACCATTGTATTCATTAGGAAAGTTGTAGGAAGATACAGCATTTGCAAAAAATTGTATTCAGTTGATGGATCATGTGGTGCTTCAAGGAATAAAAGTTTGGAAAGTACATAATGTCTGAATTAATTGCCCTGCAAAAAAAATCTAATGTATCTTTTAAGTCTGACACTGTTCTAATTAGAAGCTGTTATAATCCCAAAATCTCTGCCTGTAGGTTTTTAAAATATCCTGTTCTTATTCGCTGGTGTGTACTGAAGTGGCAATCACAAATCTGAAACCTAACTGAAATCCAACATGAAAACGCAAGAAGACGGCCGCAATAAAATTGCGACTAATTCTAAATCATTATATATCATAAGTCTTTTCTTCATTTATGACGATAAGGCTTTTCCAAAAAAACTCAAAAAAACAGAAATATTGATACCAGGACATGAACAACTTTGACCGCATCCATAAGATATTCTTACTACAAGAGTAAGACACACGCAGTAGAAGTAAAACATACTACCTTCCTAACGTGTAGGCATAAGGAGTCATTGAACCTACTAACTTAAAGGCTACATTCATGGGAAGATCCTTGTCAGGGCTACGACAACAGTTATCACCTCCAACCGGTATTCACCTGGCTTAAAGACAAATCCAGTACTGGGTCGGAGGAATAAAATAAGTCTTGTTGCCCAAAACAATCGCATCATGGAAAAGTATACATTTTAGAAGTATATTTGCCAAAAAAGGGTAAAACAGATTGTGATCTGGTAAACCTAGAGGTATTCCACTGCCAAATTCATCCATTTCTACATACTGCGAAACTTAAATCTAAAAGTACGATGGGGAGTGTCATTATATGCCTAACCCTGTGGAAATGCTAGTGTTAGAATAATTTTTACGATACAAGAAGAATACAAAACCAAACACATACAAAATCTGGCAACAATTCAATTTCACTCACATTTTTGTCCGTCCTCGTCTCTACAACACTCCCAAGTGTTGGAACTGTGGCAACTTTGACAGCACTAGAAATTACGAACAGTGTCTTCAGAAGTCCTATATTAAATACCATTGCATGGCTGAACACTAAACAAGGGCCTGAAAACTTTACTCAATTTTGATGTCAACACTGACGTCAATGTTTTCATCGTGCTTTGTTTACAAACGTGCTCTGGTCTTGAGCTTTATTACTAGCAACAACAAGAATAATTTTAGGATGAATTGGCAATAGATTTTAAGTATCCTTTGTTGCATAGGTTTTCTTTCCACGACCAAATGCCATCAATAGACTGAGTTAAACATAAGGGTGAAAGTTTTCAAGGCAGCAAGGCAAGGAGTTTGTAAAATTTTCTTACAAGGCAAATAAAGATAACTATGCAAAATTAACCACCTTAATTTTGTATATATCAATTGATATATATATCAAGCATATATCAATAAACAAATAAATCAATTGATACAAAAATAGACTTACAATTCTCGGTCATTTGAAAGGGTTATCAATGCAGATGCAACTTGTGAAAAAAGCGGACTACTGGTAACACACCGTACCAAAATCTGCAAGTGAGAGGTTCAATTATAATCATAAGTGCTCAATACACAATGGAAAAAACTGGCATGTGAAGCTGAATTTGACTTCAAAGTGCTACCGTCTCCTAGGAGAATGGAGTGTACAATAGTAAAGTTTAATAGTTATTCTGTCATGATAAGGTGTTCTGAACATATCCCAAAAGTTTCTAGGCATAATGATATTCTGCCATCGAAAAATCACAACAGGATGATTCTTCAAGTTGACTAATGTAAATTAAACAGAATGAAAATAAGAATCATATCGTTAAAAATAAAAAAGACAAGAAAGTAGTTGTTAGTATCAGTGCACCAGGAATTAAAAACTGTAGAGTGGACGATGGAAGTAAAAAAAGCTCAGGGCTGTAAATGAGGTTGAATGAAACAAGTTTGGGAGAAACTGGTGATTTGAAAGGAACTCTGATAAGATGATGACGTCATAGACGAATAGCCATTTAAAGAAAGGATAACTAAAATACAAGAAAATTGGAAAGATTGGTTGTTGGGACGAGGTAGAGAGGCGGGCCAAACAGAATGACATGGCAAGGAATGACATGGCAAGCATTGAATTGAGGGGAAATGATGTGCATGATTTTTACCCGTTGAAAAAGATTGGCTATCCCATTATTGAAGGTACTACGTAGCTGTTATTTGTATACACTTTAAGCTCATATATTGTTAATATCTTCGTTGAGTACCTAACCTCTAATAGTGGAGCAGTTGTTATTCTGACAGCTGTAGATGGATGAACAAGTGCTTCTCTAAGAACCTGTATAAGATCTCCATGAAGGTCCTGGTTAGACCTGAAAACAAAAAGGCTCAGATAAAATGCCAAATTATTCTACAAAATCGATCAGAAATGTTTAGATCGTTCAATTCCCGAGTGGAAGGCATACAAGACACGGTCAAAAGTTTAAGGAAACATCTCTGCAAAATTGTTTTTGGTACAATTTTTTTTTTCAAAACCAGATAAACTACAGATTTTCAATTGCAGGAGCTGGTAGAGATTTAGTAATCTACATAGCTGATTCTCGCTGAAATGAACATTATTTATGACACCTGATTAGAAAAATTGTTAGTCAATGGTACAAAAATTATCTTCCATAACCCCCAACCCTTAAACATCATTAATCCTAAAACCTACCACACACCCCCCAAGAAAGCATCATTCAAACAGATCACCTTGTTGTGCTAAATTGCCCTTACAAATTCTGGAGCACAAGTTGAATTTATTAAAATTGGCTATATTTACATTTCTGTATTATGTTTGTATTTGGAATACTGAAAGGCAAGTGCCGCGCTTGGGCCGGTTGACATGGTCATATTCAGGTAAAATTTCCATCACATTTACTTCACATATTTTATGTGATCTATGTACCGGGAAATAAAATTATGCTGATAAATGAGCTCACCCAAGAATATGAAATGTAGATTCTAAATGATATAAGGAAAAATTTTGTGTAGCGATGGTAACCAAAGACTGCTTCAAAAAGGTGCACATCCTTTTTCGATCTTCTTCCTAAAAAACCAACAATGCAAATTGTTTGAAACACAACATACACATTAGAAAATTACCCTTAAAATGAGACAGCAAAATTTTTCAAAATTCAATACGCGGGAGGGGGGGGTATGGAAATTTGGTGTAAAGTATCCGACTGCAATAGAGCACGGGCTACACTACCCAGACATCTTAAAGGAAATTTTGACACATACTAAAATTAGACAAGTGGGTGCCAATTTCTTCGGAAAAAAATAAGCGGGGGGGGGGAGGACTTTTCCTTGGCGAGAGAACAGCTTACGTACCTCATTGAAGACAGAGAGAACTCCACAAATGAAAAGTGGCAACAGCGGGCTGCATATTGGGGGTAAGTCTTTTTCCAAGAAGGAGAGTTCTAAAATTTAAAAGTAAATTCGTACAACAGGACCAGCATCAGCAGTCTGAAGATTCAAGAGGAAGCTCACATGGATCATTTATTTAGTGTGTCCGTTCACATTGCACGGCCTGCGTAAAAACACGGATTAAATGGATCCGTTCCCACCTTGCTCTGATATGAAAATGGAATAAAAAGACAAAACGAAAACAGATCAAATTGAAAATGGATCAATATGTGGACGGTAAAATACATGGTTGACGGCAAAAATAAATCATTTTGAAAGTGCAAACAAAGGTAAGGCTGACTTGCATTGTTTCATCGGGTATAAGTATACAACGTTTGTCAACATTGTTGTCATGAACAGGCTGTCAATTTTATATGTCATAACTAAGTCTGAATCTTACCTGACGCCCTCATGAGCTTTTCAAAATATGGAATTATCTAAAAGAAAAAGCAATCAATTGTTAAAGAAGGCTGAAGGAATAAAGCAAATAAACCTAGCAAAGCACTATACTGATTACAGAGTTGCGCTGGCTTGCTCAAACAACCTATTGCAAGAGTGGTATGCTATGATACAGAAGATTGCTTCATCTTGCGATTGGCATGCAGGTGTAGGCCATTTCATAAAAAACTCTGTAATCTATGCTCAGCAGATATTCTTACAAGAATATGCATAATTTCATGCTCAAACCTTTTTGTATGTATAAATTTTCCCAAATGTTCGACATAGCTTGCATAAAAAACAGACCAGCTGCTCCATAATTTCTAACTCTCCAGAACGCTTTAAACCTAAAAAGATCAATTAAGAAAATTATAGGGTATTGATTATTTTTTGAATAAATCCAAGCCATTTTAGGAGACCAGATTGCATTAATTAAACTCGACTGCATAAATTAAACCAGACTGGTGATTAGAAGTCAAATAAATTAAACCTTAGGAGTATGGATAATTGTAATGGCTGCTTGCATGCTGTTGTTCATTGTCTGGATAGTATAATTTGCGGTAACTCATGACTTCGTCAGAGGAAACGTAGAACTAGCAGGAAACTAGAAGAACTTTTTAACAGTCACGAGAAAACAGTCTTTTCTTTGGCGAGAGTTTTAAGAGATCATAAGCACTGAAACACAGAAAAATTTAAACAGAATTCCTAAACTCGTATTATAATTGAAGAAACAAGAACATACAAAATATAATAGCACACACCTGTGAATTCTACAACTTGGGATACGCTGCGGTAAAGGAAAGGATTACAGATTAGTGAAATTTAAAAGGCAGTTAAATAGCTGTATATTGATAACAAAATAGAGGACATATTGATAACAAGATATACAAAATGTTATATTCAATCGTGATAACTCTGGCCATGAGTATACAAAATTCAGTTTGAATTTCTGAAAAAAAACCATTTTAGTCAAAATTTCTGGTTTGGCTTACCCCAAAAGACATCTACATCAAATCTTTAATCTTAGATCTTGCCATTTACTTCGAGGGAATAAAAAGAAGACTTTTTCAAATTTCCATTGACATCATCAATCTAAACTTACATCAGCTGATCACATTACCTCCATATCTCGCCCACTCACCTCTCCTACTCTCCCTTTCTCTTCAACTCCCTGTTCTCACCCAAACCTTCATCTTCGAACTCTCATCTCAGCCCCACTCCCCTTCCTATCTGTTTTTTGATTTTCCACCAATATTTGAAAAACACATAAGAACATAGAATAAGGTAGTGATTTAGGAGTAGCAACAAAATATTCTTACCAATTGTCGCAAACCCATTCTAGCTCATTCCAGGATACAGGTTCTGTATTCTCAAGATTTCTATCAAACCTTTCTACCATAATTCTTAATTTCCTGGCATCACCAATGACAACTTCAAGGCTCATAAGTGTGTTAGGCTCCTTTGGCAGACGGTTATCTGAAGCAAAGACGGAATTCAATGCAACTTTTTATAAAAAAAATAGAACAATCAATAGGTAATGTTCCTATAGGCGCGCGGTACTGATTGGACAACTATACCAGTCATGTGCTCACGTTTTTCAAATTGGCCTATTTCGATCCACAACTGGGTATATATTTTTCATCTTGTCTTTTCGAAACCTTATTCTGACGTTTTATACTGTGAGGATTGTCAGTCAAATAAGCATTAAGTATGCTGTAAAATGTTTAATTTCTTCTAAATCCATTTTCAAATTTTGTACCGCCAAAAAATATTTCAAGTCAATCATAGTCAAGATACAAATCCATCAGCAAACAATTATTAAAAACAGCATGGTAAAGCTGAAACATGATGCATTATACAAAAATAGTCTTTCTCCGATACCTAACAGGGTACAGAACCACGAATATAGACCAAAATGTGAATAGGACATTTTGTCCAGGTATGGATTGAAAATAAAGTGGGAGAAAAGATTGACGTATTTGATTGGTTTTTTGTTCTTGATCCATAATGTGCTACTATGGAATACCTTTTTCCGTGTGATATGAGAAACGAAAACACTTTCCGACGGCCTTTGAAAATTTCATAGTTTACACTTAGAATTGGTAAAAAGTTGCCTATTGGTATCTGTCTGAAGAAAATACGTCATAGAATAGCGATAACGTTCGGATTAAACTGCACCTTTTATATCGATAGTTGGATCACCATCCTCTCCGTCGAATGGTCCTGCAAAATCATAGATGAGATGCAACTTAGAAAAACAAACACTCCTTTCATATTAAAAGAATCCTTCAGAACGGACACCTCTTCGGTTACTAAGCATAGGTGCCAAAACTCTACAATCATAAGCACTTTCCAATATTTGAGTTTTGTTTCTTTTTTGTTAAATTAATTTTTTAAAACATAAATCCAATGCAAGTTAGCGCAAATGTAGATCACGTAAAGATAAATGGAATTATTGGTTATGTAGATCTCGTAAAGATTAGAACCAGCAAACTGAAAATAATTGTATGTTAACATGTCGGGACAAGCCAAACTTTTCTTGAAACTCCTGGTATGCTTAAGAGCAGTATAAAAATTTGAGTATAGTAGTTATTTAAAAGTTATCTGTACATCTAAAACAAGAAGATAAAAGCTTTGCAAGACTCACCTGTTAAAAGAACGAATGCAAAAATCAGCGGCACCATGTCAATACAGCATTGAAACAAAAGTTTGAATTGCAAATCGAGAGCACTTAATGCTTGGGTATTGTCCTCCGTTTTGTTGCATACTTTTGCAGTTGCACTCTGAAATTAGCAAAGTGTTCTAATGCACCAAAACCATCCTGATTGCCTATATGCGCACTAAATTTCTCTGGCACTTTTTAAAACACAATATTTCAGTAGTTATTGGAAAAGTGATGGCATCTCGTGTTGCTGCCGAACGAACAACAGGGGTACTATAGACACGAAGGTCGGAAAGGCAGCGATGTTGGACTGCCAATGCACATGGGTTAAAATGTACCAAGGGAACAAAATTGATCCCATTTTGCTATGCTTTTACTACACCAGGTTGCCCAAGACTTTCGATGTGTTTGATGTAGGCTATAAACATTAATTGTATGGTCTTAAAATATCAAGCAGCAAAAATAGACCTTATTAAAGATCAACGCATCAAGCTCTCCCCGCATATTAAGCTGTTCATAAGCTATGAATTAACTTTTCCTGAAGTATTTCCGTAAAATCTTTGCATAATAATATTGCAAACCATGTACTTTTCTCTCAATTGCATTGGAGAGCATTGAGAGCAATTAAGACAATAGCTTAATGAAAAGACGAAAAACATTCAAGTATCTCAAAGGAAATACATTCAGTGCTCTCCTTACCCAAACGCTTGCCCCCGTTAAGATCGAGACTATAACTAATTTCCCTTTCATGCAAATATACAACCCTTTCCAAATTTCACCGGCTTGCATACAAACTTGTCCAAATAAATATACTCTATTTTTACCTCTAAAATCGAACGGATTGTCATTAAAAATGGCGATAACAACTGCGACTGTAGGTTCTTTAGTTCCAATGTCCATACACCGATAACAGGAAGAAGCATCTCCCTTGAAGCACGCAAGACATCTTCATTCTCATCCATTAACGTTTTCATAAGTAAGTCAACGGCCTGGAGAAAGAATGGGAAAAATGCAAAACACTACCAGAAAGAGACAATATGAGACCAGCAGGGGCCGCTGGGAGTAGAAAAGTATTGGTATTAGCCTCTGAGATTAAGACATAGGAAGGCCCCCACTCAAGATCTTTAAACTATTTAACAGGGGTGGAGCTTATATGTTTTGATTTAGGGAGTTAGGAAAAATGAGCTTTTCGATATGAAGGTTTAGAATCGCTTTTGGCAATATCTTACAAAATCATTTGAAGGCAATGGTCCCCATTGCCCCCTCCCAGACAATGCTGACCCTGTGGTAGTGTAGTTCATCCAACTAGTTTTGTGTAAAGGAGAGAGGATGGGTTCTTTGAAATACAAATGGATTATGGCTGCGGCAAACTACTCAAGCGCAGTCGTTCTTTGATACAGCGGTTTGCTGCCCAGTAATGGAGCCCCAAGGTATTAGCCCATTAATTCTAATACCATAGGGCTTATGGCCGGCGAGTGAGGTTCTATTACGATACAGCGAGCGATTTACTATAGATATATGCAGCACAAAAATGTAAGATGTATCATCAGATTAGAGAAAGCGAGAGAAATAATGTGAAAATATTGCCTGTGACTCTACAGAGCATTTTTTTGCTTAAATTCCTGCATAACATATAAAACTATTTTACAACTGCCTTTAGCTTAAACAAGCTTGGCTATATCAAAAGAGCTGGTCCCATTGATAAAATTGTTGCGAAAAAGTGGCAGCGTATAAAAAGCAAAATAAATTTCTTGCGATCTTAGAGAACCAAAGTCCCCTTTTTTGGAAATAAAATGGTATTAGACTAATACCTTCAATACCACCCCAAGCCGCCCCTGGAACCAGTATTCTGATATCAACAGTATATTACGCCAGTGCCTTTATAGCCAAAGCAGAACTGTTCAAAAGGACTACAAGCAATGAGGACCCAAAGTAGACACAAACTCCTGCCAAAATTATTTGAAAAGTCTTCCAAGCTTATTTAGTGCTTTTTATTTCTTTTCCTAAAAATTATCAATTAAGTTAATAAAGTTAATAAAAAATTGCTTAAAGAAGAGTAGTTGAATACGACCTTATTAGATTACGAAGACGATCTACGTTAGACTTTCAGCAGACATTGAAGCCTTCTGTTTGAAAGCAGAGTTTAAAAAAGGTTCTCTGATCCAAACCTTTGATATTATTTATCAAAATCGCGCCTTGACTTCAGAAAAAATGCAATCAAACCTGAGAATATTTTGCATCATCATCAACAAATGCAAAAATCAATGCGAGGCTCCGCGTGGCTGCTTCGCGAACTTTTTCATTCCCATCATCCTCGAGCATCTGTCTCAACATCGAGAACATCAATGAACCTAACAGCTCTGGCTGGATGACGAAGAATTAGACAATGCTATAGATCATGTAAATCTAACAATATTTACCATTTATAGGCATATAAGAGAAACAGCAAAACCTCGAGGTAGAGGCAGGATGGCTAGTTGCAATTTCACGTCAAAGGTCGGTAACAGTGGCTGAGGGCTACTGCCATATACGAGTGGCTGAGGGCTACTGCCATAGTTCCAAATGAGTTTGATGTTAAAAAACCTACTAGTGTAGGGTTCTGTAGCTAAACATCCAGGTACCGTGACACTGCAAAATATTCTTATAAAGGCTCAAAGCTTTAAATTTGCTTGCTGTTAAAGTTCTTTATGTAGTGCGTTAGATTGATAGGAGTAAGTCAGTTCACGAGTTATGTTGGCACAGGTCATAAGTGTCATGTTGAGGATAAACGAAATGTATCTATGTGTCCGAACCTGCAGACTTGGCTAGACTATGTATATACCCAGAAGTTATACTAGCAAATTCATATCCAAGGCATAAATACCAACCCGACAATGTGACCGGGTGGTCGCAGGAAAATCTTCATGAATAAAGTTCTGCAGGAATTATTTTTAAATATACTCTTTTGCAAGAAACACTTTTCTTTCTTTCATGTTCTTCAAAAGAAAAAATTAAGACAAAAAGAATGTAGTTCCTATTCTCGCAGGAAATTTATGCATGATTTTTGTCTGGTCGCAAGAAGAACAATTTTTTTTCATGTCCTGTTCATATCTGAGCCATTTCAAAAAAATGGAGCACTCATTTTAGAAGTCTAAAACATGTAACATGAAGACATTGTTCACCCTCCTATCCAAAAAGGGCAATGTTCCAGTTAAAGGGCACAACACCTTCCTTCAGTCACCTTCCTAACTGTAGAAATGAACCTTTTGCAGCAGAATATCATATAGTATTTTCCAATGCTGCTTTTACATTACAGATCTCAATCAAACCAACAACCAACTACGAAATCATGAAAATGGTCACAGCAATATCCATACTTTAACATGCACTAAAGAGAGGTGTGGTATTTCAATGTCTTATGAACAAGTCAGTCTATGTCATGGTCTGTAAAAATACTCAACTCTATGGTGACTTATTGTCTCTAATACGAAATATTAAGTAACCCTAAGATCATGGTGTAATTGAACCTCAAGAAACAAATTTGAAAGTAATACACCACATATCAAGCCTATATTTAAGGCTTTGTTTCAGTTAAAAGCTTGTCATTACGTCTTTTCTTTCTAATTGGGGCTTTAAGTCCAACCACGTAGAAAAAACCTTACCGGTATGTACGGTGCCATAGAACCACATGTTTCAGCAACGAGCAGTCTACGCTCCGGATATTTATGAGTGATCTAAACCAAAGAACAATGATTTGAAAATTGAATGTCGTCATTAAAGAATATTCGAACAAGAATAATGCACCAACAATAAGTTTTAATATAATTAACTTCTGGTTACAACCAAGCACCTTGTTCATAAGTTGATTACAACGCTTGTCGCATTTTGTAATGGTATCATGTCAGTAGCAGAAAATTATCACAACGTTTAGGCGAGGAAAAGCTACAGACGAAAATTATACTAGTTTTAAGAAAAGAAGTTTACTTTTGTTTCATATCTTACCTGTTCCCAGCATTGAGGAAGAAGTTCAGCCTCGATTCTAGTTGGGCCAACCTTCCTTGCAAAGGCAACGCAACCATCTATAATCATGCGTCTGGTGAAATAGAATGATGCAATTCAGTTTGAAAAATAAAAAAAGAGACCTGAAGCATTTGACTTAGGGTATAATAGGTAAAAGAAATATCTGAATATTATTCAATTTTAGTGGCCCCAGCTTGATACACTTGGTTATTCCTGGATTGCATGTAATGCAAATTTAGGGATATTTTTAGGCTGTGGCTAAAAACAGTGGATTCATTTGAATTTTGATAACATAAACACGTATAAATATACAATATACAATTTAGAAAGATACTTTATGAATGCAAAATACAAAGTTTATTAAAACGAAAACAAGAAGGACTTGAAGGACAGTATTTAATGATAGATGGTATACTAACATATTTTAAATTATCGATATTCTGAAGAAACCTATATTCGGAAATTCAATCCACTAACAAACCACGCTATCAAACATCTGATGATTGCAGCATATAATTCTGTTCAATCTCAATTATTTAATTTAGGATGATAAAAAGTTACAACTAGCTTGTATTTACTCATGACTGCAGTTGTAATTAGTTCTCAAGTAACAAAGATAAATATCTAAATAGTTTAAGTCTAAGATAGTCTAAGAGAAATAAAGGACGTCTAAATATCATTTGCTTTTTTTCTCCATGGACAAAAATGCACGACGGCAAAATTAAAAAGGTCAAATATTTACTTAAAGGCAACCAACGGATATTAAAGTAGCTTCAACCGTCTACCAGTCAACAATTGGCCAATCAGAAAGCATGATACCACTCACGCGCTTATTGATTGGCTACTAATGAATAACAGATGGCCCATTCAGTATCTGTCGATTGCCTTTTAAAATGTCATTTCGTTTACAGTTATGCAAATAATAACTTTCTTTAAATTCTCAAGTAATTTCAATAAGTACAAAGGACAGAATGTGGATACCTCTGCTCGTCATCTGGGCGTTTTATCAAGTTAAACAGCATATGCAGGAGATTGTCCCTGACTTTGACGTCAGGGTGAAGTCGGACCAGACACAAAATAATCGGTATCAGCTCCTGAAAAACAGAGTCTGAGCTGATCAATACTTGCAGCTGTTGACAACAAAAGAGACACTTAAATGACACATTCTTCTGTAGATGGTAGAATCGTTCATTCCTTTCAGGAAAAAGCTACTGAAAAAAAATATCTTTTGGTGGTACAAAACTTGTAAAGAGTTGTTTTCGATCTATGTTCTGACGTTTAAACTCTGAAGAGTGTCAGACGAAAAGCTTTAGTTTACTAAATTTTTGCTTTTTTCAAAGCCATTGAAAAAATGTATGACGGATTAGCAAAGCCAAATATCAAAGAAATTGAGAAAATGCTTTATGGAAGCTCAGTCTATCTGATGAAGATGTTTCCTCAATAATCAATCACACATAGTTACTAGACATCTGATTAGAAAAGAAAACTACAGAAATTCCATAGCAATATATATGAAAAAAAAGTACACATACTTTGAAAATCGATTCAACTATGCTGGCGAACAAGAAAAACTAACAAAACAACACAAAGTATCCTAGTTGCAATAATTTGCCAAAAGAAAGTTGGGTTCTTTATGCATAAAATGTATTCTGTATGTATAAAAATGCTCATAAAAATGTATTTTATTCAACGGACCAATATTTAGCCACAACACATATTACTTTGTTCCCATTATAGCAAGTTGAATATGAATACAAGTGCGATAGCAACTGTAAAAGTTTATTCGAATCAAATAAAGCTTAAAACATTGGCAAAATCAGGCATAAAAGAAGTGAACAATTCAAATTTTGACAAACTGTACCTCTCGTTTATTTAGCAAAACGTTTGGGACCACATTTGGAAGGCATCTGGATACAATGTGGATAGGGTCATCTTCTTCTGATGCTCGTATAATCTATATGAGAAATAGCTTAATTATTGCTAGATTTATATTGGTGGTATAAGGATGAGAAATTTAATAAAGTTTTGTATGGCGAACTACTTTTCCGTATGGATTCAAAAAATAATGATTCTGAATTGGTTTGCTGTACACACTCTTTGAATTTGCTTAAATTTTGATTAAATGATTCTAAACGCGTCTGCTTGGAACTAGTGATAGTAAAAGAACGCACACCGCTTTAAAGATAAGGCTTCAGCAAAGGAAATTGTCCTGGCAATAAAGTTAACAACTTTTATGGATATACAAAACTGTTTTGTTCAAAAATAATTTCACAATAAGGATCTGAAACCTCGCAAGATGGTTTCTAACCATGAAAATTAAATTAGCTTGACGCACAAGAAGTGCGAATGTGGTCGATAGCTTCTGTAGGATCATGATCATTAGGGGAGTTGTTTCTACAGCGCCTTAAAACAAAATTAGGCTTTTGTTTATTTGTTTCAATTCGAAACATGATCACTATTTTTATAAAAATTTGTCAACACAGAAAAAGATGTAGATGAAAAAATGAAATTTTTGAAAATGTTTCAATGGCTCAATCTATTCTTGGACAAAAACCAACTTGTATATGAACAATCTACTTAGAAAATACATATGTCCGTATGTTGTACTGTGTCGAAAGAAAAATCTTGAATAAAATGTTTCTTATGTCCTTACCTCCTTCATCAAACGTGTGTCGTGTTGTTCTTGTACAAAACCAAATAATTTCTGGATGAAAATTGCGGTCGTTTGCCTGAAATTGAAGAAAAATCATTGAAAGAAATTCAACTTGTACTGTTTATAAGACTTCTACTAAATACACTGTTCACGACGATTTTATTCTGTTTTGTTTCAATTTCTATCACTATGATATATTCTGCAAGTGTCATCTTAGGAAGCCCTTTATTCCACCAGAGAAAAGGCTGTCTTCTTTCCCACAAAATTTTGCATAGTTTCCCAAAAATTTTCAAACTTAAAATTGCAGCGCATTCAATCATGGATTAAAAGTATGCTACTAGGCACAAAACAGGAAGCAACGAAAAACCTTCACACGAGTTGCCATTACACAACACAATACCAAACAAATACTGCTTTTGCGTGTTGCAACACTTTTGATAGGGGCTTTTGGTGAAAAATTATATATTACATATCCTGATTTTATTTTTTTGCAGGTCATCAAATCGAAAATTTACAATAAATTGTGTTTACAGACACTAGACAAACCTTTTTGAAGAAATGTTCAGCTCAATACTCTAAAAAGGAAAAATCTTCATATCAATGCTTGATAATAGGCATGATTTTCAAATCGTAATGTTGAGTGTCTTATCGAATCGCGTATAAACCATGAATTAGAAACACTTAAAAAATTGAATGTAACTTATAGAAACTACCATATCAACCGCTGGAATGTGATCTTCGGAAGCAACCGTTTCATCGGGAACGTCTCTATCAAGAAAGCTGTCCATTGACTGGTTATCACAATTCTCAGGATTATTGTCTAGCTGGTCTTCTATTGACAAACTATCATCATTGCTAAGAACCTCTTGACTACTGCTTTTATAACCTTTTTCTAATTTCTCATCTTGCACAGAATTACTGCCTATGAGAGACTGTTCATAGTCATTCTTTGACTCCTGTTGCTCTTCGGCTCGCATCTGGGTCGTGACATCTGGCCCAGAATCTTGAGTTTCCTTTGCCATATGAAATTCCATATTTATGTCGGTTTGTACTTCATCGGCGCTTGATGAAACAGTGGAGTCAGGGAGCGGATTCACTGCATCATCACTATTCACCCTACAAAACCAAAAGACATTAGAATCATATTCTTATTACCGGTACGATGATAAAAAAGACATGGTGGTTCTTTAACTTGAATCCATCGATAAAATCAATGATAAATTGACATATTTGACAAAATCAGTGCAATAGACAACCCAGCAAGAAAGATAGTTCGGTTTCATAATGACAAAATCAGTGCGTTGGACACTACACTGTATAATTTGCATTATTCTGAAGATGACTCTCGCTAGAGTCGAAAATTAGGGTAAGATGTGTGTCTTTTTTGTCGTCGTACTGGTGTTCATCATCATGATTGCTTTCATCATCATGATAGCTTTCATCATGAAGCTGCTTTTCCCAAAGTCAGAATCCGATTCTTTTTTCAGAAACACGCTCAGGTGCAAGACCAAAGCAAAATGCGTATCTAACGGTCGATACATGGAGATAAACAACATGGATATGTCGTTTTCAAACATATATTTTTCTATTCTTGCTATAATTCATATGTATAGAATAATACAAAATATAGAATATTATCATACCGTTCGTGATCACTCAAAGCTTGTTGCAATGTATTATTCTCTTTTTGTAAAGTTTCTGACTTTTCTGCCAAATCTTTGATGTTCATTTCCTAGACAAATATCATTTTGTATTTATGACGGGTAGCGTGATAAAGAATACCAGTTAAAACTAAGTTGAAAAATGATATTGCTACATCTATTACGAAATAGATTAACTGATCAATAAACACACCGCAGACCTAATTAACATGTTTGTAAGTGCAGAAGAATATTTGAGAAAATTTATAAAAAGGGAGGCAAGTTGTTTGAATGGCATGGTTTTAGGCTTGGATTTAAAAATGCAACAAGGTAGCTCAGTTGGTAGAAAAATGACGAATAGTGTCACTGGTCGCGGGTAGTGGCCCTGCTCTGGTTGTGTCACACACTCACATTTTCTTGAGTCGTGTCATGTCGTGTCATATCATGTCGTGTCATGTTGTGTCATGTCGTCTTGTCTCGTATCGTGTCGATGTGAGTCGAGAAGGTGAGGCGAGCGTAGCTGACTCTACACCAAAGGCTAATTTTCCCATGATTTTCTTGCCAAAATTGGGTGGATAATTAATAAAGAACCAAGAAAAAGTAGCAGTTGTACCGCTGATTGTCACTGAATGTGAGTGAAAAGGCTAGCTACCATCCACCGATAAGGCCTTGTTGGCATTGCTTAAGGAGCCTCTTACTGAAGCTTTCTCACCCGTGGTAGTTCCACACAGGCTCCTATGAAGTACACCCTGGAAAAGCGTGCTTTATCTTGCAAAATTTCGAGTCAGCATCGTATCAATCCTGCTAAACAATGTTATTAACAATTCCTTCAAATGAACATTTGTTCGCCGAATGCTTCTAAAGAAGGCCTACCAATTGATATATTTGTTCTCTGAGTTTTTCTATCTCTTCCTTATCTTTTTCGACTGGCTCTACCACGTGTTTGCCATAATCTCGAAAAAGATGTAAAAGATTGGGTGGGCGTGGAGTATTGACACCGACATCATCCCAATCGTCAATGTCCTGTTGTAAAAGAATAATTCATTATTTTTATCTTTCTAGAAATCCGAACCTGTAATTCGTTGATTTGCAATATGAAAAAGTGATTTTAGCCGAAGACATTTTAGGCCATGGCAAAGGCTTCGGCTGTCAATAACCATCATGACCATATTATCTAGCAATATTTCCAAATGTTGCACAAATGTAAACTCTGATGGATGCATCGATTTTATGAGACAATAATACTTTAAAAAAACGACCACATTTTCTGTAAAAAATTTCTCATTTCTTTCTACTTATTAGTGAAAAGCTAATCTGTAGTCACTCTTTCACAAGAAAATATTAAATGAGACACACTTATTTATTATCCATATTGTCACTTTCATTTGATAATTCACAAAAGCAACAGACTGGCAAAACACAAGAATGTTTTTCTGCACATTATTTTAAATGGAAATGACAAAGAAATCATTTCAAAAATCTACATCAAATTCATACGCAGAATGCATAATCGTTCAACTTGGAAAAAATTCTGGATAGACAACAAAACAAGCATCAAATAACTTACCTGATCTCCAACTTCTTCCCCAAAAGTGATAGCAGTCAAACGGTATCCATTTTTTAGAAGAAATTCGTTTGTGAGATAATTCAATGCTCGAAGTTCAAAAGTCTTTACAGGACCCTAGAAACATACGGTTGCATATTCTTCATTCTTTTATACAAAAAATCACTGGTAAAACTGAAGGATAATAGAGTCACAAATAAATTTCAAAACAATGACAAATAACAGCATAAAAAACAATGACAAATTAGTGTCAAACCTCTTGCTCTGAAGATTGTTTTGATTCTTCTCCTGTCTTTTTGAGGGATGATTCATTTTCTTTAGCAGAAAAAAATAAAGGAAAATCAAAAGAAAATATACAGATTAAAACTTATACAATATAAAGTGCAGCTGGAAAATTACTTGTATAGTTTATTAATTGAAAGACATATTTTTGATAAAGCAAGAAATAACTATGGTTTGATTTATGATTTACTATAAACAATGACTGAAGAAAGAAAAAAGAGCCTAAATTTCAGAGTGCCAACGTTTAGACTGAATTGTAATAATTGAATTTTACTTTGGTGACCTTGTTTGCAAACTGATATTTGCGAATGTCAAAGATCTACATTACTATGATAGTGGAATAAAAAGGTGTCTATGATTAGCCACATCAAAACAAAGAAATGAGGCAAATGTTGAGTACTGCTAATATTAAGGTATAAAAATATTAGCTTCGCAAAAGAGACCATCTGCTAGTCATATGAATTATGATAAAGTATAAATGATAATAAAATAAAATCGAGAAAAAAGCAAAGTCAGGAGTAGGCAAAAATTCTTTATATAAACACAGTTCCGTAATTGTCAAAGTTTTGAGAAGGTTTGATTGCTGTCATGTTTTTAGCTCAGGAAAGAACAAACTATATCAGTGACATTCATATATCAATTTATTAATTAGAAGCAAGCACCAACTATATTCAACATGAGGTGACAGAAAAGGAAAATGGAATTCAAATATGTACAGATAAACTGATAGGCTGGTGAGCTTTGAAAATACTGACCTTTGGCATATTCTGTGATATTTTCTCTCAATTCTTTGATTGTTTCTTTGGCTCTTCTCAACTCAAACTCCAGCACTGGAAACAAATACAAAATACTTCCAGAAGAAATGATCTATTTGAAAACCTTTCAATTCAGGGAACTTTCAATTCGTGGTGATAAATGACATGGAAAGTGCATCTCTTTTCCACTTAAGACTGAGCATGTTTTGTTTTTCTTATTCACAAATCCTAGTTCTTGTTCAAAAAACATGGGTTTACAAGAATCTAATCCAAAGTTAATTGAATCAAAAATTGAGTTGCAAATGTGTGGTTGACAAGATACAAGCAATTCTAGAGTAGGCCATTCATACATAAAAAAATTAATGACAAACCAAACCTTTATGTGAAATTATTCTTTGATTCACACAATAACTATTAACAAATTCATATAACAATCTATAGTTATGTTAATCTTATTACATTAACAGTGCTTAAATGGCATAGATTCAGTGTTAATGAAGGAGTACTTTATCCCAGATTACACAAAACATGACCAAGAAACATTTTCTATTTCCAAAAATGAAGACTACCAAGCATAGACACATTTAGGCTGTAAAGCCTAGACATTTCTTTATAATAAAATTACACCACAAAAGTACATCACCAGTATACAATGCTAGTCAACAACTGGCTTCATAAAATAAGTGCATGTTTTCAGCTTTCAACAAGCTGTTTAAAGAAGAAATATATATCCTTACTTAATGGTAGTATGTAAAAGTATCTCTCTACACTTGTGTAGCACAAGCATTAGAAAATTTATTCTACTATAATCATATTTATAATTGCTGATCCTTCACTTACCAGCAACTTTATCATCATTATCTCTTCCACCATCATCAGAATATCTTGCAAAATCATCTATTGAGTCTAATGTCAGGTTACTAGCTGATCTCCCTGCAAAAGATTTTGGTAACTTTTAGTGATTTGCTAGATACACTAAAATTGTGATGGAGAAAAAAATATGTTCAGTATCATGCAGTTACCAGTTCAACAACTACTGATTCATTGTAATGAAACGATCTAAATGCTTCACACTCTTAGTGTTTGAAAGTTTGTTTCTTATCTTTTTGAGAGACTAATAATGTCAAGGAAAAAGAATGTGGCTCCAAAAGGAGAGTTTTGAAGACATTTTTAGAAAAGGACAGTGGTCCAAAGTAGATAAATCTTTTAGTTGCCTTCAAATAAAACTGATAACATATGTTTGCTTTTTCTGCTTGACAGAGTCATTTCGTAATTCTGGATAGACAATGGCTCTAGCAGATTTACACTCTAGAATAATATGAAAGTGCTATACTGCAAACCCATGCTAATAGTCTTTGAGTCTTGCTTAAAAGGAAATGAAAATTTAGAAATTGAATAACTGTGAGTCTACTCCATGTGACAAAATGCAGTTCCTGAAGGCAATTCATTTGCTGCTTTTATCACGTGACTGGTAGCCCTTTTATACCTCTTCTTGTTTAACTTTTTGATAAAATATGCTGTTGTCAAATGAATGGGAATCACATGCTATTCTATATAGTTCTTAATTCAACACATTAAGCTTAGCAAAGCCAAAGCTACCTGTTCGGATGTAAAAAACCAGTGCTGTATTTTTTTGCAAATTATCTTTCGTTGACAAGTTTTTCTCAAAGAATTATTGCCATATTTTATTGACAGAATATTGCTGATTGAAAAGCTAATTTGACAATCTCATTTACTGACAAAGAAAGAATTACCAACAAAGTTAAGCAGAAATGATTCAGCACAACCTATATGAAATCACAAAACAGTACCTGTAAGATCTCATTTTCGAACTAATTTGCACTGTTAAACTCTTAATTCTCTTAAAAAATTTGTTGTTATTGAATGTCTGTAAATTTTACATCCCTTCTAGATAAATAAGCTTTGGGGGTATACTCAAAAAACCATGACATTATATTTTCACACGCCTTCTTTTATTCTGAGAGCGAAATTCTCTATCAGTGATTGGTTCTGTTGGTTTTCGAGATGGGTTTAAATGTAAATCTTTCCTTGGTACTATTACTTCATGACACTTCAAAAAAGGCTTAACTCCTTGTCAGGATTGCGAATTGAATAGAAAATTTTGAAATAATCATAAGACTAATCTACAGTGGAATCCCGATAATATGAAACCCGGCCATAAATAATTTTTCAGTATAGCAAAAATATGTCTGGCCCCTTGGATTCTGCCGAACCCCTTGCAAATTCCCTCGGTACAACGAATCCCCTATATAACGAACTCTCATTATTACGAACCGAATTGTATGTCCCTTCCTCATGATTTTCCTCGAAATGACCAACGTCTCTATAAATTTTCACCGTTATTTTGGCCTACTTTTTCCCGGTGTATATTTATCACTTTTTCTCAGAGAAATAATTACTTTCATCGGCAAAACAGACACTGGCAAACATGCACCTTTTATGATACAATAAATGGAAAAGAGATTTGTGCAAAAATTTACACCTTTCCAAGGCTTTATGGCAGTTCAATGAAAAAATCTAAACACAGAATACAATAACAGACATTTTTGTCTCCGAATTTTCTAAAGAATGTTAAGTGTTGTTAACAAGAATTTCATTTTTGATTGCTAATTTAGCAAAAGTAGCAGACTTGCCAATTATGCAAGAAACAGTAGCAAATTTGCGGATTTTGCTACCAATATACAGCCCCCTCTTCAGACTCTGCTATGCTTTAAATCTAGATTTTGGCGATGTTTAAATTAATGAAAAATGGCCCATTATTATCTTTTACCCCGGTGAAAAATCTTGCAGGATCCTACAGGATCCTGAAGGATCCTATAAGGATCCTAGATTTTTAGGATCCTGGACAAGATCCTACCAAAAATCCTGCAAGATCCTGAGTGCATATGATCCTATATAGGATCCTATGTAAGGATCCTGTAGGATAAACACAATTTAAGATCTGACACAGGATCCTACTAAAAACCTGACAGGATTCTAAAACAGGATCTTGAATAGGATCTTGCTAGGATCCAGACTGACATTGCAGGATCTTACAAGAACTAGATTAGGATCTTACACATAATGATTCCAAGATCCAATTGGATTGTGACATGGATCCTGTCAGGATCTTGAACATGGCGATAGGATCCTATAGATTCTTAAACAGGATCCTGTTACATTTTGACCAGGATCCTACCAGCATCTTGAATCTTAAGTGTATAGGATCTTATTTATACAAGATCCAGCGTAAGGATCCTATAGGATAAACACAGCTTAAGATCTGACAAAGGATCCTACCATAAACATTACAGGATTCTAAAACAGGATCTTGAATAGGATCTTGCTAGGATCCAGACTGACATTGCAGGATCTTACAAGAACTAGATTAGGATCTTACACATAATGATTCCAAGATCCTATTGGATTGTTACCTGGATCCTGTCAGGATCTTGAACATGGTGATAAGATCCTGTAGATTCTTAAACAGGATCTTGTCCCATTTTGACCAGGATCCTACCAGCATCTTGAATCTTAAGTGTATAGGATCCTATACAGGATCCAGCGTAAGGATCCTATAGGATAAACACAATTTAAGATCTGACACAGGATCCTACCAAAAACCTTACAGGATTCTAAAACAGGATCTTGAATAGGATCTTGCTAGGATCCCGACTGTCAATGTAGATCTTACAAGAACTGGAATAGGATCTTACACATAAGGATTCCAAAATCCTATTGGATTGTGACAGGGAACCCTGTCAGGATCTTAAATATGATTGTGTTAGAATGCTTTGCAGAAAAAATAGACATCTTATTCAATAATCTTTGAGTTACTGAAAGTAAAGAAAATATTTTAATTGTGCTGATATGTCTTCAAAACTGTGGAAACAAATCCTTTAACTTCAGGGTCTGCATCTTCCATTGGAAAGAACACAACACGTGACAAAATGTTGTCACATGAAATTATTTTGAAAATTTCACAGTCTCCTATTGCGACAAAATGACTTCCTAGCAAACCCTCGGCATGAAATTGACGCATGACTGGATCTTCTGGGTTTGGAAGCTCGTCTGTTTGGCAAATATTTTTTTGCAAATTCTTGGCAACTTTAATGATTGCAAAGAGTCCTCTTGAATTTTTTAAGAAGCACTGTATTTTCCCATAGTTAATTGTTCTTTCTTCTTGTGTATAAAAAAATGATACAAAAAAACTACAAGATGATCTGCGGTATGAATAGCTTTCACTGTGAAATATCTCGCCTTCTTTAGTAATCCTTGAAGAGAATACTACTTCTTCATTATCACCAATTAAATTGAGAGTATCCAAATCAAGATTTTGAACCAGAGGAACCGTCTTTTGTAGGGGCTTATAAAAATAGACATCATTACTTTTTTCTCATTTAACTGCAAAACATTTTTGCAGAAATTTTTTGCTTGTGGTGGGTACGTAACATTCCGCAAAATTTCAGATTGATATGTCTGAGATGTAGCCATATTATGAATCATTTGAGAAATTATGCCTCTTGTACCATGGAACTTCTTTTTTAACAAAGAGATCATGCCTTCGAATACGAAGGCAGATTGTAGGATTGGGTTTCCATGATTTCTTGTTTGCTGAGCAAAGTGACTGATTGAGTGTAAATTATATGTTCTTTCTTTCTTCCCATACAATTCTTCAATCTTGTACAAGATCCTGTAGGATTCCTCTACCAATATCCTACGAGGATCCTATACAGGATCCTATTCCACCAAGATTCAAGAAATACAAAGGATCCTATTAAGATCTTATAAGGATTGCTTTTATTCTTATCAGGTTCCTGTAAGATCTTATTAAGATCCTATAAGATCCTAAAGGATCTTGCACAGAATCTTGTACAAGATCCTGTAGGATTCCTCTACCAATATCCTACGAGGATCCTGTACAGGATCCTATTCCACCAAGATTCAAGAAATACAAAGGATCCTATTAAGATCTTATAAGGATTGCTTTTATTCTTATCAGGATCCTGTAAGATCTTATTAAGATCCTATAAGATCCTATAAGATCCTATAAGATCTTGTACAGAATCTTGTACAAGATCCTGTAGGATCCTTTACCAATATCCTGCAGGGATCCTGCGAGGATCCTATACAGGATCTTGCAAGATTTTTCACCCGGGTATGCATTATCTTTATGGATTATTGACATCTGGCCAGTCAGATACATAAAATAGCTGTGATGTTTGATAACCAAGGGGCCATGGGCAACAGATGTAAACGCAAAAATGGTCATTACAACCAGATGAACGCCAAGCCCCCACTGACTCTGCTAAAGATATATTATTGAAGTTGATGAAAAACATGTAGAAACTTGCTCAAGTCTTCAGAAATAACTCATTTTTTTATTAAAATGTTAGTAGTGATTATAAGGATTCAGCGAAATAAATTTCATCAAAATTATTGGTGTCATCATTGTCGTGTTGGCAATTTCTGCGTAGATCTATTATGATAACCATAGATTTTTGCGAAAAAATGTCACACGACCACCACACACCTGAATGTTTTCAAGTGTGCAATGGTTAGCACCCCTGCCATACTTTTGTATATATTTTTGGGTTCTCTTTTCTGGCATGAAATGCAACTTTCAAGGCTTCTGATAATGTTTTACATGATTGTAGAGAAGGTTCTCTTCTAATAAATAATTAATTTCAATACTATTTGATCATCAAAACAACTGACATTTCTAAGATGCTTTTGGAAACAACTGCCTTTTGAGGAAGGATGATCTGAATTTGCGTATGATTAATACCAGTATAAAACCTCACTTTCTGCATAATTCTTAAAGTTGTCTTATAATAAATCACTGCAAGAGCTAAATAAACAAATATGAATAAGGCTGCATAATCATCATTCCCATAAAATTCTGGAAATAAACTATACAACAATTTTTAAATCATCCGCAAGTCTAGAGCCTAAAATAACCAGCTAGACGAATTACAGCTAGCTGGTAGGCCGAGCCATGCAGAATGTATAACATTGCACTCCAAAGGAAATCGAACGGAAATTCAACAATTCAGAAATCTTAAACTTACTGACGCTGCTGATGCTTATACCATCATATCTTGAGTTCGTTTCAAAATTTCCTGGATTTGAGAAAAAATCTCGAAGAAGCGGAAGTTCTCTACCGCGTTCGCAGAGCTCACAGTGAACTTCTAGAGCTGACAGAAGAAATTTCCACCTCAGAAGTCTTCTTGCAACCTCGTTTATTTCTACATCAGAAGGCTGGTCAGCCATCTCTGCATGGTCTTCTTCTGTACGACTAGCTTTATCCGTATGAACGCTTACCTCTTCCATGTCTTATTGGGTTGCAACCTTTGGCATTAGTAACTTATTCACCCTCCATCTTTGTTGATCTTGCAGTAGCAGGACTGGTCTTATCAACAACAACAACTATGTTGACGAAACTGGAACAAACCGACCAATCAGGCGATCAAAAATCAGCAATCGTATAACCAAATGTAATCAACAAAGCAGGGCTCTTCACTGATAGAGCTTCAATGTTTATTTTGCACGCACCAGATTAAAACGAGCAGGGCAGTAGCAGGCTTGGGAGCAAGCCCCCTGGAACTTCCTTTCCTGCCTTTTAGCAAACTCTCCAACGTTCTGTCAAGCGTGTTATTAGAAAAGTTAAAAAAGAAATGTTCGGATGTGTAAACTCGTAGATAAAAAAGAGTAAGATATTTTCCTCAAACAGCATTTTGATTTTTACACGATTGATGTATTTTTCTATTTTGGATATGATATTCTATAGAACGTCGGTTCTCAGAATGTGACCTTTCAAAATAAAGGGAAAACGGGTTTTATAAACACTCTTATCCAACCAGGAACGTAGCTAGTGGGGATGTAGGGGGTATGGCAGCCTCTAAATTCTTAAAGAGTTAGTCGGTAAATCTTTAGTTGGTCGGTAAAATCGTCCAGCGTTAGGTGAAACAGCATCTAAATTTTTCCATCTCTGTCTTGGTCGTTAGATTTACTTTTGATGACATTCCCCTTCATAATCTACAGGTCAGGCTACGCCAACGTTGAAAAACCGTGTCAAAAACACTATAGCTAAACGATTCTATATACATAGCCCTCTAAACCATAAAGCAGGAATTATTAGCGTGTAGACTGACTCGACGGCTAATGATCAATAGTAAGCTGTGTTGCATGGAATAGAATTCGTTTTATTGAATTTATTTTGAAGTCTTTGCATTAGATTTTATCTCGTCTTCCTTTTGCTTTCTTCCTTAGTTTTATCTTTCGTATTTAATATTCATTGCAAGATTCACAAAGTCTGGCAGACAGCCTTCCTTCTTACACATTGCACGGAATGTTCACTTTTCTGCAAAAGTAGTTCATCAACTCGTTGCTCACTATTAATCAGTGCTGTCTCAAAGCCCGCCTAAGTACTAAAAAAGTAAGCAGAGAAGTACAATGCAAAATTTTCCTTTGTTACTTCATTCTTTTTTCTTTTCTATCTTCTAGTAGAAATATCTTCAGTTTTTGATGTCAGATATGGCCAAAGAGCGGGGGTGGTCTTAATGCGAACCAACAAGCATTAGTTTAGGATGAGATATTTCATTCATTCCCCAAACATCTGCATAAACAGATCTAATGTCGCTAAAATGACATATGCACGAGCTATTTACATTCTGGATACACCTCAAGTTATTTTGATATTTGAACAGTTTTTTTGCGGTACAGAATTTGAAAATGGCTTTGAAAAAAGCAAACATTTTACAACATACTTAAAGCTTTTTCGTCTGACACTCCTCAGAGCATAAAACGTCAGAATAGGTTCCGAAAAACACGATGGAAAAATATATACCCAGTTGTGGATCAAAATAGGCCAATCAGAAAAACGCAAGCACAAGACCGGTATAGTTGACCAATCAGTGCCGCGAGCCTAAAGAAAAATTACCAATGGAGTCCAAGAGAGAAAACGAACTCCTTTTGTCTACACAATGGCGGCTTTTTCGTTTTTATGTAGATTGACTCCAAAACTGCTAGATGGAAAGACGACCGGGCTCTGCCAATTATCCGAAACATGTCGTCATTATAGAGTTTTGCACAATCTGGGTTGTCCAAAAGATGTTGACCAATGGCAGAATCACTTGTTTTAACAGTGTTTCTCGACCTACAAGATTTTGATATTTGTTTCGTTTAAATTTCAAGTACCTATAATTTCTGCTTATGAAGAAGGCAAACAAAACGGGTATCCTTTTTTGCAATGATCCACGTACTAATCTGTGTTTTGTTTACAAGCACGAGCATCTTTCTGCGAATCAGCTATATAAGGAGAAGCTGAAATTGAACAGCTACTTTGATTTTATTGTCAATGCCTAATTGTCATCTGTTGTGGTGTCAATTCTGAGGTAAGTTCCAATTGGTAAGCATCCATGCTATTGGAGTCTCTTGTTTTTCGCATCTTATATCTTTATCACCTAAATCCGCTAGTGACATCTGTCAGAGCTTGAATTTCATGGGGATTTCATATTGCTTTCAAAATTTTTAACTTGTCGTTTTTATTTATATTTATATATAAGTTCATATTTTGATAAACGAGTCAAAGTGGCTGAGAAACTCATGTTGTCGCGCTCTGCTATGATACACCATCTTTGAATTTATGATTGCCTATAAAAAGGCTTTTCTCGGCTTTAATTGTTCTTTTACGTTTTAGCTATGCTACTTTTAACGTTTAAAATATAAGTGTCGTAACATGTAATTCTTACCTGGTATAAAAGAGTCAAGAATGTGTTCCTTGAAAATTGCAAGAGATTTGCCGTCACAATTTTATGAAAGAATCTGAAGTCTAAATTATATGACTGCGACTCTTTCCAACAAATTTTTGAAGAGCTTTAGAATCGAACTGTAATTTGTGAACAGTCGAGTTGAGTCATTGCTAATAAAAAGATAAAGCTTTCAGTTAGATCTCGGGACAATTATTGAATGAAAGTCTAAATGCTTTGAATCTATCTTGCACAATGCAAGTTCTGATTTTCGTCAAAATCAAATGTTTAAACAACCGTTTGCTACATATGCTTACAAGAAGTGTTAGCACTGAGCTCCCTTTTTACAAAATACAAGTGACATATAAATGTAACCGTATTTAGAATAGTCAGGATTGGGTTCCTTGAAAGCTACAAGAGAATCGCAATCATGATTTAATGACGTATGGCTTAAAACGAATCTGTATTCTTTGACATTTACACCTTCTAACAGTAATTTGAAGAACTGCAAATTCTTAGCTGTAAACTGTTAACAATTGAGATATTCTTGGTATTTGCTAGTAAACAATTCAGCTTTTTTTTAGATTTAGGGAAAATTATTTAGTGCTAGTTCAATGTGTTGTTTATTTATTTGAAGGTTGTCACAATGCAAGTTCTGGTTCTCCTCTTTTCCATCTCTCTGAACTTCATATTAACTTGTGGATGCCCTTCGGATACATTGACCAACGGTTGCAGTGTACCAATCAATAGCACATCGTTTCCATACAAGGTCTTCTTCCATCCAGCTTGCCAGAGACATGATGTTTGCTATTCTTGCGTACGTATTAGCAAATGTTTCGTTAGGGCAAATCTAAATACATGACAGGAGATTATCTATTTAAATGTCTTATGTCTAGAAGTAGTCGACAAAATGTTAGCAAAGAGCATTGTCTTCAATTCTAGTGTCAGAGTTTCTTCAAAATGAAGGTATCTGTTTCAGAATGCACTTGAAGTAATTAGAAGCCAACTGCAAAATGTTATTTTATCGATCATTGTCAATATGAATTGATTGTAACTGATTGCCAATAACTAACAAATATGGGAACCATTTACCCCTAAACGTAATAAAGTTAAATAAGGCTTTACACATAATATTCTTTCCCGCAAATTCTTGTTATAATATATATTTTAATACGGAAGACTATTATCTCCAAAAACCAAAGATCCTCACGCAAGATGATCAACAGGCTGTCCAGGCTCCAGAGCTTCATATTTGGTTTTAGATTTTGTTATTCAATCTTTCCTTTTCTGTGATTTTCTACATACGATCCGTGATGTGGAAGAGTGGGGCCAAAAGAGTTGGGATCCGTTTTTATTGTTATATAGGATACTTGTTGCATGTGCCCCAGTTTTATTTTTACAGCACTACATTCTTGCATATGCTTGTATTTTAGGGTCAAATGCATAGCTGGTCAAGAGCAAATTGTGATTCTGGATTTTTAAACGACATGATAAGCATATGTAGGACAACTAACTCAAACTTACGAAAGCGACGCCATATTGAAGACTACATGCCGCTGCTTCGACACAAGCTGAAACGTAGTATACGAGCCACCGAGCCTGACGATCTGGTCTTTGCATTGTGGGGTACAGTGTGTGAATGGGCCGCTAGGTTGTGGTTGTGTCTCTAGATCTTCCTTTAGAACAGTGAAAGGATGTAGATACACAGCTTGTTGATATCCCAAAAAAACTTTTTTTCATTTCTTGCTTCTGATTTTTGAGAACCTTTCCAATAGAACTACCCTCTCCCCTTTGATATTGAACTTTTAGTTTACTTCCATGAAGGGTTAGTAGCCTTTTACTATCTGATGACTTAACGGGCTTCAACAGTATCGATGTTTTTTGAATCACAGTTAAATGGACCGATACCCAATCAGAGCAACCCAATCTACGCATAAGGGTCAACGGGAACAAGTATTTCTGACCGTTCTTGCTTATGTCGAAACAGGCCTAGCTACAAAGACCCCACCCGCGCATTTGACACACTGTAGTTTATGCCTTAACGACGGTAACATGAATTAACGAAATGAATATGAAGGTCTCTTTTTGAAAAATCGATCGTTCCTATTCCATCTCTTCTGATTTTAATTTTGATTTTTTTTCTTTCAGGAGCCTACTATCAAACCGTGCGTTTGTTTGGAACAAAACACTATGACGACGTTTCACCTGCCCACATATGCATTCACCAATGTGCTATAGACAATGGTACCCCAAACATCAGCTGAACTGCTCAATGTATTTTGTCTTACGATCAGTCTTTAATGATAAGGCAGACAAAAGAATGTAAAAACATTTATCTTTTATGTTTCCTTTTTTTATCTCGGAGATAATTTTGTCAAGTTTATCGACACAGATGCAATAGGGGGCTAAAAATTATTTTCACGAAACAAGCCAAGCTACTCAAATCTTCCTTCCGATTAGCAAAAAATTTTAAAAAAATTTTTTGGGTTTTAACTTTTCAAAGTCTTTGAGCCTAGTTGGAAAGTGAAAAAGGGAGCAAGTTAAAAATCCAAAACAAAAATTTTTTTTCTGAGATTGCAGCACCTAACCAACTTCTTGCTTTCTAGTCTTATAATGCTTTGTAAAGTTTGTAAAGCCTGGTTTTCACCAGAGGCATAAGGGTCGTAAGGATTGTAAGAACGTAATTTTAAGATTTTATGACGCTTATGATCAAGTGAAAACACCAAGAATCATTCGTAAAATAATTAGCACTTGATATTATCTCTTAAAATTCGTGACATAAGGATTGTAAAGATCAAAACTTTTTCATCTTTATGATCCTTACGACCGGATGTTCCTTTGTTTTGGGAATTAGGTGACAAAATTTCCTGAATTCCGCACACATTGCTCCTTCTCTCGTTGGCCTTAACATGAATTTATGTATACTAAATGGATCTATCTCGCGCGGAAAGACTATCTATCGTGAAATTCAGCTGCTTGTAAGTCTTTGAAAAACTACAAGTTGGCAAAGCACCTTGCTCAGATCTCCTTTGAAAATTTTGCGAAATCCAAAACCCTTTCTTACCTCGTATTTTTTTAACTTACATTTCTACGACGCCTTCATCTCTTGATTAGAATATACACTTCCAGGAACAAACGCAGATTCGTAGCAGCCATGCTGGATCCATGCAGACAAGTGGCGGGGAAAACAACGCCCTTTCAAATCATAAGAAATCTCACAAAGGATTTTCGTAATTAGATATCTTATGATAACAAAGGATTTTCTATTCTTACGATCCTTAAGAAATTTTTATGATGGCGTTTTTATTTGGATTATAAGAAACATAAGCGACAAGGACTTAAAAATAATGTTTCTTATGATCGATACGATTCTTATGACTTTTGTGAAAACCAGGCTTAAGTGTTCTGCCCAGTGGCATCACAGCGTTATCGTACGCCCCCCTGCAGTAATCCTGCGCAGGCAGAAAAAATTATGTACAACGCTTCTGCCCCCCCCCCCCAGGCATCTGCGCCTCCTGGAGTGCAGCGGTTGTTGCGACGCCCGCGGTTCTACCTCTTATCGCAAAATCTGAATTTTACATTGTCACATTGTAGAAGCTCCACAAAAAGCAACAACTTTCCATATCAAACGTATTATAAAGTCATTTTCTCTTTTCATTAAATGAAAATCTACATCAACGCATAAACGTAATTCAGAAACAAAAGTGTTAACTAAAAACATTAGTTTTGTTTCGTCATAAATGCGATTCGATGTCTCTAGTAAAGTTACGCAGTTAGTTGATGCAGCAAATGATGCAGCTAAAAGCTAGTTAAATATACTAACAAGATTTTAATTAGTAAAAAGGCACTGTTTAAAGACAAGTGCTGTCTTCTTGATGATATCTAATTACGAAATGGCTAAAGATTTTAACAAGATGAGCTTTCTTAATTGAGTCATCCTTTTAGTAAATAGGGACCAAACATACAAGTATACTAGTAGATACAAGGTAACTGGGTATTTTTCATTCCTTAGGACGGCAACCCCTTCATACTGCAATGTCATTCTGTAATGGTTTGAGAGTAGCTACTTCATTTATCATGGATATCTTGCACCTGGTGGTTTCGTAAGGGGTTGGCGTTGATGTCGCGTGAGGCTATCAACATTTTGGACACATTTCCCAACAAAAGTTTTGCTTATTACTTCATTCTGGAATCAAGTTTATTATGAAAATGTACTAAAGGGCAATATGTAAATTATTGTGACGTCGATATAGCCTTTTGATCATGCAATGCATATTGAGGTATGAAGCAAATCTTCTAATGAAGGTCCCCAAAAATATTCTTTACAAATTTCAACGTTTTTTATTTCTGAGAGTGTCGCATTTCTATATGAGTTAAAATAGTTGTCAGAAGCTTGCTATAATGCCAATCCTCATAAATATGTTATATTTACGATATTTTTACATGAAAATACACCTAAAAGTATTGGCCTAAGACTTATATATAGCTTCTTTTATGATGCAGCTAAAATAGTATGAGAAAATCACTACTCAGCCTTGGACTTTCAAGGCAAACGTCTCACCTAATAGCAAAAAAGATGAGAAAGAAGTCCTAAAATGCATTTAGGTCTTTAAAAGTCGGGTCGTTGTTGTTGTTGTCGTTGTTGTTGTCGTTGTTGTTGTTGACATTATCATTGTAGTCTTCCAGCCACATTTTCACCTCTTCGAGGTTGTAGAAGAACGGTCCCATGCCGCCCTGGTAAACAACTTCGTTGTTCATCAAAATGAAGAGACGCTCGGGCATCGCACCAAATGCCTTGCTAACTGCGTTGTCCATCAGATCCACGAACACGGGTATGTCAGGATATTTTTCTGCAAGAATGCGAGCTGCTTCTTTTCGTTTGCTCAGAGATGTGTGTTGGTAGATCGAGAACTCTGCGTTCTAAAGATAATTAAACGTTAGAATACTAATGGAAATTGACTTTAAAAGGAAAAGAGGTGGGCGAACTGTTAAAAATTGGAAATTTACAGCGAAAAGCGGCAGTTTATGCGATAGGCAAAATTGAATTTTTAAGAACCAAAGAACATTTTTCTGAAAAACTGTGGAGTCACCACCTCTTAAATCAACCCCTCGTCAAGCAATGCATCTATTGCTTTAAAAGCGTGCGTTGGCCTGACCATTCCACTCACGCTGGCGGAAAAAGAAAACCATCTACGAAATATATTTTAGATTCCCAGGTTCTCCGAACAACTCAAGAAATAATCACGAATGACCCTACTGAACCCAGTCTTTTTTAATTTCCATAGCAATGCTGGAAAATACCTCATATAAAGTGGGTACAATGTGGGTACAATGCATGTCATCGCAAAATGGGTCCAAAGTTAGCAACAGAAGAATGTGGGTCTATTTGAATCTTACCTTGAATCGCCACCCATCCACTGGATGTGCCTCTTCGACATATATGATGGCGAAGTCTGCAAGACTAGCAAACCTATTAGCTAGTTTGCCAAAGTCTGCCAACTTCGCCATAAACGGAGGTCAGGAACAGCTCCCAAAGTTGAGTACTAATGGCACATCTTTTTGCGACAACTCTGCAAGGTCTAAAATCTCAGTTCCAGGGAAAAATTTTTGTTCTCCATCTTCTTCATACGTCAAATCTTTTGTAGATTCTTTGTTGCAGTCGTCAGAGATAGTTGGCAATGGGCACAAAAAAAGACTGTTGCTTTCAACCTGTATTCCTTTTTGCATCGTCTTGAAATAATCAAGCCAGATCTGTTTAAGGCATGTTTTCAGCATCCCCATCCCAAAGAGGCTATCTGTGAAATCTTCGACTTCCATGAAGGATATTGCTTTCATCTTTTCCAGCAAGATCACATTTATGATGCGGAAATCCATCATCTTGAACGTCTTAAAGAGGCCGAACATTATGCAGAGAACGAAAGAAGTACAGCAGAACTGGATGAATCTTAGAACCAGTAAGTGAACCGCCATTATGAGTCCGTAAATTACCGTCTGGACGCTAGATACCAAAGAAAGAACTGAAAGCTACTTCAGATTGACAGCATCTTTTATAGCCCCCATTTGCCTTTTGTTTGCCAAATTAAGTGCGTCAGGAAAGCTTTTCTTAGTACTTGGCAGCATACGCTAGAATTTATAAGAATAACTACCGTCAATACAATATCAGTTGGTTCTTTAATAAACTATCATGAAAATTCTTATAAGTGCCACCGATTCATTCAATTATATTTCCTTCAAAATTGGCGTTTGAAAATTTCCTAGAAGAAGGTTTTAAACATTACAGATAATATCGTGAAATGCAAAGAACAATGCCAATTTTGTAGAACACCATAAGAAACACCCTTGTTATGGATATCTCGTGCATATTTCATGGAAATCTCATGAATGGGTCATTTTAAAAATATACGAAGCATTCGAAATTTCCTTACTTTATATGTAGCAATTTTTTGGATCTCCGAAAGTCGAACAGTGAAAGTATCCGAGGCAGTTAAGGTTTTACTAAAAGAAAGTAACCCTTTAATGACTGTTTAGTGCTGTAGCCATGAAAACAACTGAAATACGTTTGAGAACATCGAAAATTGGAAAGATCTGTGCGCGAAGTCACTCAAGGAACGATCAGGAAAAAACCAAACGGGGTATAAAGAAAAACGGGTGTGAATTCGGATTGAATACGCACGTCATTATGTATTTTATTGACGATGTTTAAAAAACCTGTAAGCTACTAGTTCTGATACATGGTTATTATGATGCACAAATTTATATTAAGTATCATGATACAGAGATCCCGTAAACCCTCGATTCCCCCCTTTTATTCATAAAGGCTTCCTCGCATAAAGCCCCCCATTAAATAATTCTTATATAAGCCTCCCATTAAATTGCGGATAAGTTCCCATCCTGAAATATGCCTCCCCCCCCCACCCTTGCATGCCAATTTTTACATTTCAGTTAAGCCAATGGGAGCTCAGTCGAGACTCTCTGAGAAGCACAGTAATTGTTTGATGAAGCTAAAAAGCACCAAAGACAATGTGTCTGTTACTGTTTTGGACCATAATATCTTGATGTGAGTTTGTTTGTTCCTTTGACATTTTAGAAAGAGTTATAAGTGAAATTGAAGAAATAGGAGGACATTGTATAACTATTGAGATCGAGCAATTCTTATGGCAAGTTGGCGATATAGACCCCGTTTATTCAAGTGCCCATATATAAACCTCCCCTTTTATGGATCAGCTCTGATCTAAAACTATCGAAATAAACATGCCCTAACAGGTAATCAAAAGATTGACGATCAAATAATTTACATATCGTAAAATTGTCAAGAGGTAGGGTGACCAGGATTATTTCAAAGCGATTCGGCTGTCCCCCATTCATCCCTACCATGCTAGGTCTATTCTTACGACCGACGTTTTGCTTTGAAGATAAAGACAGCAAAAATCGGTTAGCAAAGATCGTCTGGGTTACTTAGCTGAGTTAAATGAATTACTATTTTAGTACCTTGGGGACACTTATCGCATCCCATGGAGTTTCAAATAATAGGCAATTAAAAATATGTGAATGTGGCTTATCTCTAGCTAGAAGGAGTGGCTGAGTATCACGATATGGCTACAGGCCAGGTAAGGTAGTGAATATCATGATCAGAGATCCATAAAGGCTCGCTCGGGTAAAAGTGCCTTCATATTAATTGGCACTATTTGTTCGAAACGTTCCTTGATCTCTGTTGGACAGCCACCATTCATCCCGATGCTCTTTTTTAGGGTGAATTTTAAAAAAATGCTACAATCCCGGGCAAAAACAGTTGAAACTTTCAAGATAAGTTGATGTTTTCTCTTTCCTTTCAATAATAAATTTCTCCATTTCCCTGATTCAATGTCGGATTCATGTTTTTGCAGGAAAAATGATTGAACTAAAAATTTAGCATTGATCTGGGGAAAAGGGGGATTCGAATTAACAGGGGCAACCTAAAATAGGATGCTGCAAAAATGTGCATTTTGTCTCGACAATTTTGTCCAAAATTGTAGAAATGTCTTCATTCTAAAAGCTCTTGTTAGCAGAAAGTGGTCCTGGTAAAAATATAGCTATTCATTTTGCGCCTTCCAGGGTTCTGTTTCAATGCAACACTAAGGAACACTGTGGGCAGATATCGCGCACAGAATGATTATGAAACCAATAGAATTAGGAAACTAACCATCTAGATGAAATTTTTTCAATAAATTATGCCGCTCCATGAACATAAACTAGTGTTTTATAGTACATCTGATCTCTATATTTCGTAATGAACCCATGAAGGATCATGATTTGGTCCCATTCCTCCAAAGAAATTCTTCCTCGACGTTTGGAAATAGAAAAGAAAGAAAATTTCAATGGTTGAACATATCTAAAAATTAAGACCTATTTAGCGCAATAAATGATACAACTATAAGTGAATAACCCTCCCCAATTAATGATCTATGTGTATTTTTAGTATATAGAAAATGTTGACAACAGAAAACTGATCAAAAGTCATGGTTTGACAAGTGCCCAAAACATGTTAACAGTATCCTGGTTGATTTTTTCAAAAATATGTTATCAATAGTCCTTTCAAACTAAACAAAATTATGAAATATCTCAGATTTCCATTATTTTACGAAGAAACATCTTCATTTATAACATTCAGTGTACTACGTGTTAAACACGAGTAACACCAAAAGTGCGACATTTCTATTAACTCAAGTCTTTTTTCCGATACTTTGCAAGAGCTCTTAGAAATACCCAATTGACATTTAGTTCTTTATTACCAGGCACGTTTGAAACTGGCATGATTTGGCAGTTTGAAACCTAGGATGTTTGGAACCCCCAACATTATGAAAGATGCTCCTTTCCTCGGAAGCTCTAATATTCTTTCGACAAAGTGCCCCAGTTTGTAAGTAATTTTCCCCTCTTACCTGTGTTCCTAGCCCCCTCCAACTTTGTAATTCATCGAACGTTTCTGTTCATGCCATGGTAATGTAATATGCTATCTCCTTTATTTAATATTTCTTTTTAATGCAAACAAGCTAGGTAAAGATTACTTCCAAGTGAAATGGCGCCAGATAGCCCTTAAAGTAAAGCGATTTGCATTGTCAATCAACGTCGAAACGTCAAGGAATTTTCATTGTTTTGTTATGTAAGAAAAAATATCACGAACATAAATCTGGTGAGGTTATAAAACTAAATCCAATAGTAAGTTAATCTTCGGATTCAAGAATACAAATAATATATTCTTATGAAATTAGCAAGGTTCAATGCAGTATGGCGCCAAAGGGGGTATCAGGGGTAATTACTCCCACTTTTGTCAAAACATGGTCAACGTGTGTCTTCATGAAATTGGTAGAAAAGCGCTAGGTAGAGGTAGATTATAATTTCAACTTAGGAAAATTCATCTGGTACAAATCACTGAAACGAGGCAAAAAGGTGCGGTCTCATTGGCCTTGTCCATTACCCTCCCACTCTGCAGTAGCTGGCGCCGCCACTTGTTTAAAGTTATGTTACATTTGTTCTAGAAACTCTAGTGTCAGAAAAAAATCTCCATATGGCCACGTGTCTCAATAAGGATAAATTGTTATCAACGTTAAGGAAAGGATAACATTCATAGCATTAAGAAGCATCTATCAAACTTCTCTTTCACTTTAGGCAAAGATATTCCTAAGAACATTTCTTACACGCACAAAGAAATTTACGGTTTGAGACAACATTAGACTTTTTAGGAACATTGCCAAAATTACCCATCGACCATGTCAACAACAAAATGGGCCTAAGATAAAGTATACTTAGATATATAAGTATCTTTTTGTGACTATCGAACAAAACCTTTAGCTACAGCAAAAATAAACGTAAGATGGCTCTTTGAATAGATAGGTAAAATACAGATATCATAAAATGATTGATAACAGCTGTTTTAGCCAATGAAGACCTGACGTATTCTAGTCGGCTTTGCGACAACTAAACCTGATAAGTGATATTTTTTAGAGGAATGAGGGTCCTTTCCTTCATCTCCCTTTGTCCTCTTTCGCTCTTACAAGAGCCTCCCGATCCCAGGGCAACAACAGGGCAACACAAGGGCAACACCAGGGCAACATCAGGGCAATCTTAGTGGCCCAAATAATTTTAAGGTAGAAGATTATTATTAAAGAAATGTCTACTTAGCATGAATAACGGTGGCGAGAAAAGTTGGGCTTTTGAGAAATAGTTTAGCATTTGATTGAAGAGTCTTGCTTTTCTTCGCAGGCACTTATTTGCGTTTTAAGCCAAAACATTTTCATTGCCTGCAGAGTGCCCGCAAGTTTCTCAAAAATAGGCTGTTTGATAGAAGGAAATTCGTGATGGGGTCGCTGGCATTGAATACCGTCCACGCTATGATTAATTCATCCTAGAAGATTTCAATTCAAAAATTGACGGAGATTTCTTAGCATTTTGACGTCATCAGAGAGAAAAGCGAAGCGACCAGCAGGGAACATTTGCTTATTTTCTTGCAAACTACGTCATAGTCAAGGCGGTGTGCTGTACTGTCAAATACCCTGTTTGTGTATTTGGAATCGAATAATTGGTCACGATAGGCCCTCCTCAAAAGCACTTACATCGGCAAAAGTTGGAAAGTAAACAAATCAAGGAAATCATACAATCTGATAAATATTTTGGGACTCAGCAAGATGCATATAGAAAAGGGAAATGCTTTCTTCCATTGAAAAAATACATCTCCTTTGTTATTTAGAGCATTGCATTACAAATACAGTCTTTTTTATAAGAATACACTTCACAGAAGCACTGAGGCTCGATTTGCCAAAAAACAAACAACGTATGAACATGCTTAGCGTAGATTAAAAATTAGGAAGAAAACGGTATTTTTGAAAATTTGTTCTCGTGTTAAAAGAAACACAGTAGAGTTTATCCCTAAACAACTGTATTCCTAAAAGCGTCTGTGTTTCAAATGTTTTTCTGTATTACAAAGGTAATTTACAATTGGCTAGCCTGGGTTTACAAAGAAAAAACTATTACAAGCACAAACGAAATAAATTAAGAAAGGAAAACAAAGAAAAAGTATGTTCGTCCTTGTTTGTTTTAGAAGTTGTCAGTAGCAGAGTTCGTTAGAATTGACAAAGTTCAGGAACATTCCA